GTTTCTTTTCTCTCTCGGTACAGGGCGCGGTATCACCAAAGTACTTTAAAAAGTTACCCTCTCATTCCGGCCGACTGGTGCGTACAACGGTGCTCTTTCTCTCCCCCTTTAGGCGAACACATGCACACGTCCGTCCACCTCCAGCGGCACTATACTGGCGGTAACCATGGAAACTGCAACACTCCCTCGCGTCATCCACCCTCGCCGAAAAAGCTGCTGGAAACGCTTCCAGCAGCCGCACCACGTGGGCATCGCTCCCGCTTTTTAATATTTTATTAGGGGGCGCCTTGATGAAAAAATATCTCTTGCCACTAATTGGCTGGTGCCGCCCATCAAAATTTATTAAGCAGCTAATTATTCACCAGGGGTGTTGCTCAAAAGGTGCGCGATATTTCCGCCAAATTAAGGCGCAGTGTCGCGTTTCAGGACGACTTTTCCGCTCGGGCTGTTTGACACCTCTCATCCTTTAAAACATTCCTTGGCGAGGGGGGAGAACCGTTTGGTTTTCCACGGGGATGATTTTCCCATCCTATCATTGCTACCTGTCCTCTGCTCCCCCGCAAACGCAACGAACTAGTATCGATCTGACTTAGAAACAAAAACGCCGAGCCAACTTCACCGCACCCAATTTACAACTTAATTGGTTGAAAGTGTTTTTTGAATATTGATTGGCCGGAGAATTTTCGTCGGCGCAGAAGTCTGTTATTTGAGAGCCGGGTGTGATAATATAATAATTATTTCCACAGAATTCGTGCGGCGTTTGTAAAAATAATGCAAAATTTGATTAAATTATACACAAAGAATTTCCTGCATGCATGAGACCGTGAATCCAGGAAAACTCATTTCAATAATCATCGTTTCCCAGAGGCAACGGCACGACCACAAAAATTACATATAAATTAAGACGCGATAAAAAGGAGGCGGCGCCCATGGAATTTTTTATTCCGAAATTTTTAAAAGCATTCCCTAATAAATTAGCTCAGCAGGTATATTTTTTCTTTCTCAACTGCTCTGCTTTTGTATAATGAATATTTATGCGTCTCTCTCTCTTATCTCAAAAGTGCGTCACTTTGGAGACTTTCAAGAGTCGCATTGATTAACTTTTGTATATAATCAGGGGGAAACAAACACACCCTAAATCCTAGAAAATAATGCCCGTCATCGTATGCTTATTCAAATTCTCCGCGTGGGCCAAAGTTCCAAATCACGTCGGTGTTTTTTTATTAATTTCCAAGGTTCTTCCATATCGATAATAAAAAAAAGAAGGAAAAGGAGGGGTGAGTTTCGGTCGAGGGACTCCACCCTGTCAAGCCTCGACGTGCATCAGTCACGCGAAAGCAACGAATTGCTTGGAAAAGTTTCGAGGGCAGACGAGTTTGGTCGGAAATAGCGACAATAATAATTTATTTTTGGTGACGTCATTTACTTTCTCGGTACATGTCGTAATAAAAAGACAAATTGCCAGTACTTATTTTGTTGATTTATAGAAGCAAGGACGAGTGCCATTAAAAGACCGCTATTTTATGATCGATGAGCAAAAAATCTGTGCGAGTTTTTATTTATTCCTGCGTGGAAAGGTCGTCGCCTTGTCGGCGGAAACCCTTCATTTCCAAGAGGATAAATGGAGAGCCGACTCATTATGGAGGAGAGAATCGATTGCGTCGAAAGCCATCATCAATCTATCGAAAGAGCAAACAAAGTGACGCCGGCGAAATGGACGAGAATCCGGCTGATTGAATCGGCTGCTAACACATAAATAAATATAACGGCTGCACAAGAAGGCGCGTCGGTTATGGTCCATAAATGCCAAATTTTATGTATCAATCTCCACAAGGATTTTCCAAATTTATACGTTGCAAAAGCAAGAATTTTTATTCTTGTGAAAATCTGCAGGAATATTATAATTTACGACTGAGGGGTTTTTGTATTATGCTTGGCTCGTCATGATGAATTATTTGGAGGGAGAGGGATGCAAATTTCACAAGTAATAATTCACCCATGGATTCATCGAATTTTCGGACGAGCAGCTGGGGGAGCCGCGAGGGTGAAACTTTTCTTGCATGTGCAGGCGCGTAAAAAAGAGCAGTCGGCTGGAATGCATTCTGTGTTACATTAATGAGCGATCAATTTTCTGATATGAGATGGGATTTTTTTCTTCTTTTTTTTTCGCGGATCAAGTAATTGTGTTGGCATGGAAACAAGATTGGCCTGGATATGGAAGCTGCTCCCTGGGCGGTGATTAAATGGCAGGGCGATGGACAGGGGACTGTCTTGGCGAAGGACATTCTGTCTCCCTCCGAGTGCTTCTTAACTAACACAAGCTGCTCGCAGCCACGGGGGATCATCTGCACTGGAAACGCGAAAAAAGAGGAGGAAAATGCTTTTAAGAGGCAGTGGATATTGCGTATCGATGGATAGATGGATGTAATGCTCAGTGGATTTGACCGAAGACAGCAAAATGGATTGTGCTCTGATTACATCGTCGAGTAAAAAAAACTTCTTCATTCTGAGACGTTTGGTCAAATTGCAATGTTTGTTGGTTAATAGATTTAGACAAATTTCTTACACGAGGATTAACAAGAGATTATAAAAATACAATTTTCAACAATAAAGTACAAGAATTATTTATTATGTTTTCAATTAAAACGCTTTAAATTTTCAATGATTTTTTCCTTTTATTTTTATATTTCCAAATCTGCTAGGGAATTGGATTGAAGATTTTTTTATTATTTAGGCTTGATTAAAATTTAAAAAATCATTCAGTATCAATCCATAATTGAATGTAGATATAGATTTTTATAATTTCCTTCCTTACACTTACTAAGTAAGAGAAATTTTTTAAATTTTCTCATTTTATATTTTATTGCATTTAAATTAAAAGCACGCTGGTTATCATTTCAAACTTATGTTCTATCGGAATTATCAGTCAACTTTTTATTATTATTTTATTTTTTTTATAAATTTTTGGCCATTTTGAGTCGTACAGTTTTGCTTCCATAAATAGACACAAGACAACGCGGACTTTGATCAATAAATTTCGCTGTCGTTTTCCACCAGCCGACCTTGGCGTGCAAATTCCGTAGTGAGTAAAAACCAGTCTTGTATTTATGTACATAAAATAATTACTGCAATTTCGCGCGCTTTGTCGAGCAACAGACGTTTTAATTTGGGTAGCAATATGATTTCCTCGTTGAGCGCGCTGGTTGTTAAAAAAAAAAATTAACCATACAGCGGATCCTTTAATGAATTCAGCAGAGACTCGTGTGTTCCCTTTCTGCACGATTTATTAACACCGGCGCTCAACCCAAACAAGCTATTACTTTGAAGCATTTGTAATGCGGCGTATAATATTTTATAACTCGACTCTGATTAAGAGCATTATGCGTGTTCGCATTACTAATATAATTTATCAGGGGCAGATGCGATGAAATGCATTTTCCGTTGCTTGCCGCGTGTATATAATATTGCGAGAGCAGCTGAATGGGAAAGCACAATGCACTTATGGGAAGAAACGCCGAGTGTGCACAATTGATCGCTTTTCTTTCGTACATCATAACGTGCATGTGTAAGGAGGAAGGAAGAAGAAAGGAAGCGGGAGCGCCCCTATTTTCGGCTTGGCATTGACCTTTCTCTTTTTTGCTCGCGAGGGCACATTTATGCAGTCGATGGAGCGGCAACTTTTATTGCCATGTACGATAACAAAACAAATGGAGGGCAGGCCCGCGAGTCGAAAATTGCGTGCCTTTGAATTCAGTCCGGGGAAAAGCGCGATTTTGGTTTTCCGCCTGGAAAAATCTACAATAAAAATTTGGCTTTGAGGGCTGCATGTGGTCATTAATTCGGTCAATAATGAACATTTTATAACGTTCATAATGAGATTTTGAAATTTGGAATAATTTTTCGCTGACAAAGTTTAGATTAAGTAAAGAGGAGCAAAATTTCACATTCCAGTATTTTTGAGAATGAAATATATAATTGATGTGTTTCCATATTTAATTTTGTTTCAATTAACAAAAAATTATTATTGAATATTTTTAAAAAACTTTTAGAAAATTGGATAGGATAAATCATTATAGATGCAATTAAATCAAAGGTGTTTTCGAATTTTGGTGCTTAAATTTTGGGGAAAATTGAAAAGACGTCATTTAATAAATTTTAAATCAAAAATAAATATTCAGTTAATAATTTAGAAACGCGAAACTTGCAATATGTTAACGCTTTGCAAACAAAAAACGCGCGTGCTTGTGTAAAACGCCACTTCCTACTCTTTTTTTAACTTCATGTCATTCATATGTGGCAATTTAAATAATCCGCAGTGGGCAATTTTTCACTTAAGCTGTTACATCGGAGTGATAAAACGTTTAACACGGATGGTAAAATCGTGATTTTTTTCAAGAAGCAAATTGCACGCGACGATGATAGAAACGTAAACCTCTTTAAGCCCTCAAGTCACCTTTATAAGAATTTGGCTCGGTTCATATCGTGAATAAGAAATTATTATTCCGATATAACGCACCACAATTTCGGCCAAATATTGACATTATAAAATAAAAAACTACCAAAAACTGAGGCGGCCTCGCGTCACGCGATCTGCAGCATTAGAATTCTGTATGATTGTAGGTGCGACTGCTACGTGTGTGCCCCCCAAGAAGTGAGAGATAGTGAGGCGCATAAACTACTCAAATATTCATGGAAACAATATAATTTCCCAGCAATAAAAAGGCAAATTATATGCTCGGGTTGTAAAACGAGACGCTGCTGAAATGTAAATTGCAGAACCCATCTAATTTCGCGCGCCGCCAGAATATGAGAGAGAGAATTTTTATTTTTTACTCTCCGCCAGCGAATATAAATTTTCCGCGGAATTTCAACTCTTTCGTTTTGATCTTCAATGGTGTGGAGAAACTCGTTTGCAGATTAATAAATTAAGATTCTTTTTCTTTCTCGTGCAGCCGCCGTCGCACAATAAATCTCAAGTTCACTCTGTGTGTGTGTTTCAGTCTCGAGATGAGCAGCCCGATTGTTTTGCTGGTCGCGTGTCTGCTGCTGACGGCGGCGACGACCCACGCCGACGAGAGCGTCCGTTTGATGTCGAGAAGAGGCAGCCTGTCCTCCAGTACGCTGCGCTGGGTCGCCGGCACCGAGATGAACAATTACATCAACGAGATGGTCCCTGGTGCGCACACGAGGCGAATCGAAGACCTCGAGGAGGGTGAGTTGATATTTTTGAATTTTATTAAATTAATTAATAATTATTTTTATTCTTAGTTATTATTTCTATCTTAAAATAGGCATCTTATACATATAAGCGTTTTTCCTGATCAATTAATATTAAAGGTTTAAAATAAATTTTCCACGACTTCAAATAACACTTAATGGTTATGATTAAAATTAATTTTTATCAAGTTGCTATTAATAGATGCTTATAAATTGGAAAGAAATGTTTTAAAAAATTAAAACAATTATAAGATGCAATTTTTTTAGCTCCGAATGAAAATATTTATGTAAATTTGTTATAAATAAGAACATTTGGTTCAATTAGGTAAAATAATGATAAAAAACAAATAAATAATTCAATCAATTAAAACTGCTTAATGTGGCTTAATGAAGGAAAAACTGCACAAATTTTAAAATTAAAACCCCTCACTCAATTTCTGATAATTCATATTTTTTTCTGACAATGAGGTGAAAATTTTCGTTCATAAAATTTGAGCAAAACGCAATTTCATTTCAGGATATCTAGCAGATGCGTCGGAAGCAGATGAGGAGTTCCACAAGGTGCACGTGACCGAGGTGGACGAGGAGTTGCGGGACGAGTCGGACGAGCAGCCGTACTTTTTGTGCCGCGCCCGCCACAACGGCATCATGCTGGTCGGCGGCCTGGTCGACGGCAAGTGTTACGTGTCGCTGGCCAAGGAGGTGCGCGGCTACGAACGCTTCGACGTTTTGCGCAACGTGATGAACGCGGCGCGGCTCCAGTGGCGTCACTGGGACCAGTACAACGGCCGGCCCTACGGAGCCGTCTCGGCCGCCGAGGACGGCAAAGTCTACGTCGCCAGAAGGTAATTTGAAAAAAAAAATGGCCTCAGGGTGTGGGAAAATAAAATAATAATCTTCCTGGTGCAATTAGCCGCTCACGATGCATTCCGGCCGACTGGTTACGGAGGAATTAATTCTAATTTATGCGCCGTAACGTTTTATTAGCACTGACTCTGAGTGACTCTTTAGAATTTCACGGAGCAGGTGCTTTTAACATTGATACGTGTCAAGCCGCAAAACATTTAATTTAAGAATTGACTTTTGATTTTTTCTAAATTATGACACATTTATTATTGCAATACAAACTTTACAATTTTGTTTAAAAGTTTTGTATGAATTTCAAAAGAATCATACAATTTTTAAATGCAATTTTTCTTCCGAAGTAATCTTTCTTATTTTTCGGAAATTTTTGAAAAATTTTCCCCAAAAATCAATTTCAAGTTCGGTTTTTTTTTTTTTATAAATTTGAAACTTTTAGTGTACTTTATTAATTATAATCAAAATAGTTAAATAAATAAAATTTTAAACTGCAAATATTTAAAAAAAAAAAAAGCTTGCAAATGGAAAAATGTGCATCAAATTGAGGATGATGTAACGTTTTCCATCTTCTAAAAACTGCCTGAGAGCATTCCGACACTCGGCGCGCACAAAAAAGCCTCTGATGAAACCCGTGCACAATTAATCACACACGTTCTTTCCATTTCATATTTGCTTCTCTTTCAGGAGGGCCGACGCCACCGCCAGGCAGACGCACTACCTGGGCAAACTGGACCTGAGCGTCGGCTCGGGTCGCATCGTGACTATGGAGCCTGAGGGCGAGCATTTGACTGAGAAGGACCACTTGAAAGGCGAAGTTCTGATCGAGACCGAGCCGGTCAGCTACGAAATCAAAAACATCAACTACGACGAGACCAGAGCCAAGGCGAGAAAGAACAAAAATAACATTTATTAGCAACTTCACACAAATGTCCGAATCGACACCCTGAAATTATCAGAGATTTTTTGGTGCCTCGAAGCGTTGTGGAGAATAAAGAGAAATAGAAGTGAATAAATCAAACGGGATAAACGGCCGCGAAGGGCGATAATCAATTGAATAATAACAGGTGATCGGCAATAACGAATTGTTGCCCGTCCATCGACAGGCAGATTATCCATCATGAATCGTTTCGAGATGTAAAAAAGCTAGGCGCTGGGAGAAAAGCAAGGCGCTTGTTTATCTTGCTTGAATCTCGTCTATGGAGCGGGAATAAGAGAATGGGACTCGAAGTTTACCTGGAGCGCCGAATTATGGTCGGAATAAAACTTGATGGTTATGAGGGGTGTCAACGGAATCGGGGAAGGGCGCTTAGAAACGCGAGTTATGAGCAGAAATGTGAGCGTTTGATGTTGAGATTAAGACGTTTTGAGTCAGAAAGACAGTGAGAAATGTAAAAGGAACCCTTCCTAGGCTTACTTCTGAATTATGCCGAGTGGTTCTATAAGGAAACTAGAACCCTGCGTTTGGCATTATAATGATTTTATCAGTTTATTGTTTACAATTTATTTATTTATTTATTTATTTTATTTATTTATTTATTCTCCATTTATAGTACATACAACGCAAAAAAAAGTACACTGTACAAAAAAAAGCGGAATCATGCATCGACATAAAAAAGTACAAGCATACAAAAAAATGCCGAAAATCAGGAGATTATTATCTGTTTCAGATATTATAATTTTCTTTAACAATATTGAGGTTAACAATATAATTGTTTTCTAACAAATCAATGATAAAGGTATTTCAAAATTGATTTAAAAAAATACAATTCTTTCTATCCTTTCTATTTAAAAAAAAAAAAACAATAAACAATTTAACTATCTTTTATTTTTCATCAAATTAAATTAATCATTGAATTAATCTTTTGTATATTAAATAGAAAATTTTAGTGACTTTAAAGATGCAAATAAAAAAAAATCGGGAAATAATTAATTATTGTTCATTTTTGTAGAAAATATTATCATTTTTAGCAGATTTTTTAAAATTCTGTCTTTTTTAGACAAAGCAAACGCCGCGCACTTTGGCCACAACGACCCTGAGTCTGGAGGACGTGGTGGAGGGCAACGACGCCCTGCCGCCAGGCAAAGGCATGGTTGGCCGCACCGTCACCTACTGGAAGGACCCCAGCAGCGAGTACTGGGGCCAGGGACGCGGCATGGCCATCGGATTGGCCACCAAGATCAACCTGGCCGACGATATGAAGCCGCACACTTTGGCCTGGGGCGTCAACCAGACGTGGCCGGGGGAGGAGGTGGTCATGACCGTGGAGGCCAAGTTGCTGCCGGGAACAGGGCAGAACGTCACCGTGACCGGCAACCACACCATTAGGGAGGTGCCCTACACGGCCGTCCTCGTCTCCCACTACAAGGACAACAAGAACCGCGAGAGGAAAATCGATGGGATTTTGCACCAGGTAAGAAAACTTTAATATTTTATTTCATAAATCTCTGCAGCTTTTAATCTATGGCTATTTTTAGTTTAAAAATATTTGTTACCAAATAATGTTTAAAGCCAAATTTTAATGAATTAAGACGGGTCTGAAAAATAAAATAGTGCCAATGTTCTTCCAAGCCCTTTTTTGCAACTATAATAATACTCATTTTTATAAATTTCATAAAATCCGATAAAATCTTTACCTTTTAATTAAATAATTAAATATTAAATCTTATTGAAGGTTATAGCATTAATGACTGTTTTAATAATTTAAAAAGAAATTGGTAAAAGTTAATTGAATATGTAAAAAACCTGGATCAGTCAGGAAAAACTTCTGAACCTTGAGACGGAAATTCATATATGCTTTGAAGCAAGAAAATTTAATGTGACAAAATGTCAATTGAGGGAAGCCCTTGGTGGTGCATTTTTTAATGAGGCAGGTGAACTTATTTTAACAGCCACTTTGGCACCTGGTAGGGGTGGAAAGTGGAGAAGCCGCAGGAAACCCTTACGGCTGGGAACAAAGGGTTGGCTTGTCCGGCGGGATTTCAACAAGAACAAAAATAATAATGGCCACGTCATGTTGAGAACAAAAGACGAGTCAGTGGGGCAGAAATTTTTTTGTTTGGGACCACCGCGTGAAATTTTACTCCTAATCGAGTGAGTCTGTAACTTTTGATTATCCAACCAAGTATATCAGAATGCCTTTGATGAGTTCATCGGAATAAATTACCGTAGAGTTATCTTAAAAATGATTTCGATTCAGGTCACACACTACTGCAGGTGGTGCACTGCGCTAGAAAAAAAAACAATAGAAACAAACACACACGATCCATTCATTAATGCAGGTGCAATAAAATTGAGTGTTAGTTTTCATAATAATGACCAGCATTTCTCGGAACCGAAGAAAATACTATTTTGAGGAAGTTTACATGGGCAATTAATTAATCAGAATATAGCTCGATTGTTCTCAAGATCCTTTCTTATTCTTAGTATTAGGATAATAAAATGTTTTCTACACACAGCCTTAATTTTAAATATTTATATAATTATTATGCAATTAAATAAAAATGTTGATATCAGAGGCTAATTTTATTAAGACATTACAAGTCATCTTCAAATGATTTTAAGTCAAGAATAATTTAATTAAAAGAACCAAACTTTAAGACCTCTTTTTCTAAAATATTTAATTTTATGAATTAAAAACACAATGAGTTGTTTAAAAATATAGAAGGAATTTAATATGATATAAAAAAAGAGACAAATTTGATTAATAATTGTAATCATTTATTTACTTATTTGTTATTTATTAAATATTTTTAAATTTTATTCTTTGAAATCAAAATTCTAAAAATAATAAATTTATTCAACTTGTGTTTATTTTCTATTCCAGATTTCCCTCCGAGGCATAACCGTGAGCTACAGCCCACACTATTTCCTTCATGACGGGTCTTTGGTTCCGACGACCACTACCACCACAACGACTACCACAACCACAACCACGACGACCACCACCGAACCTGCAGTGACCACAACCATGCCCAGGTCACCCCATCTCAACCCCATGCACAACGAAGTTATCGAGGAGAAGACGATGATGATGACCGCCGGCTTGGATACGTCGGGGGCGGACGCCGCCCCCGCCCGCCTCCTTTCGACCCTGCTCTTGACAATGCTGGCGGTCGCTTTTGCAAGGATAGGCACATGAATGGGCTAAACTGATTGTGTAAATAGCGAAAATCACTCACACATAAAGGAAGGCTGCGTTTTAGTCTCTGATTTAAAACTAACGACACTATATTGATTGTACAAAATGTATCTTAGTTGTTTGTTTTGTTTACGTTGCAAAGAATTTGATAATCAAAAAGTCGCAAACGGCCTTATTATCATTGGACATCAGTAATTTATCTCTTTCTCTGCTGCTTTCGGCGACGGAAACGATTAGTTTTCTTCTCTCATTAGTTAGTTGAGCGAGTATTTTTGTAAGTTTTTGAAGGCCACATGTGATTCTAGTGAGGTTAAGTTAGATTCATTTAGCTGATAAAAAGCCACATTGTTTACTTTTGTTTTTTGGTTTTCTCATTAATTTGGTTTGCGCGTAGCCCGATTCGAAGGAGGTAATTAGTCGCAGCTTGAAAGTAAAAGGATGTCCGTGGAAATAAATATAAACACTTATGCGTATATATCAGCCTGGCAATTACATTAGCGGTCGCATTATATATATTTTCTCTACGAATTGCCGTAGGAGAGAGGTAGAACGGTTGTAATGTACAATAGCTGAGACTCGACAATGTAAATAATACAATTAGTTGGAAGGGGACGAAATTAAAAAATTTCTGCTAGTGCCAATTAATGCGTTCAGTGTAAGGATTCAATTGGCGCCGATTTAGATTGGAAGAGAAAAGTTTCCCCTTCGATTGAATTAATGATGAATTTTTGAGGAAAATGGATGTGTAAATAAAAGGAGGACAAATCCTTTGATGAATGTTGTAAAATAAAATTTTGTTATCCGCTAGCAATTTCTTGTTCTTCATTTTAATAAGTACCCCCCATTAGAAGAAAAATATAAAAAATATTTATACTTGTCACAATTTTGTATTTGGCAATATCCCAAAATTTTAAATGGTTCTTAACGATCAGAGAACCTTGCCAAAAATAAGACAATGTCAGATAAAAGAGACACCACATAACGCATAGAAAGATATTTTGCAAATTGGGTCGATCTCACTTTAGGCATTTTTGATTCCTTACATCTTATTGTTTGCAATTCTTATAATACATTTTTTTTATCAACTTTGATAATATTATATTAAACGAAGAACCGAAAAATTTGTTGATAATAATTCCTAAATATGCAGAATTTTCAGCATTATTACTTTAATTAAAAAAAAAATTAATTTTACTTCAAAACATTTGTTTAAAATTAAAAATTTATAATCTGGTTGTTTTGTACTCACCCATGGCTCCTAATTGTTGAGGCGTGAGTTGCTCCTCGCCAAACCCAGTTCTGAAGTCTCCGCTGTCCAGAGCAGTGCCCGGGACAGTGATGGACATTCTGTCACCAACTGTGGACATTTGGCGGTACAAACTTGCAGCTCTCCGGCTGCTGGCGGCGCTGATCACCGACGGAGCTCCTTGTTCTGAAGCTTTTAAAACAAAATAATAATTTTAAAACGTCATAACTTAAAAACTTACACAAAATAGATAAATAAATAAAACTGACCGCTTGGTTGAAAATTGTTCTATGTTTTCAATTTTTAAATTTGTTTCACCAACTGTAGAATAATAAATAATAATAATGATGTATAAAAAAAAATTTATTTTATTTAGTGTCTGATTGGTCTATAATTAAAGAGTGAAATTTTAAGAGCCGATGCACTTTTAATGTGCGAATCTATGTCAAGTGGACAGAAAGTTTCTTTACCTCCGTAATTGGGACGGCTTCTATCTGTCGTCACCGGCCTTCTTCTTTTGAAATAACTTGCAAGCATTCTGAGGAGACCGATTCCAGCCACAGTTGTGACAGTGATCTGAAATTTAAAACACAAAATTGGCAGAATGACACGAGAGCAAAAATCTGGTTTTAAATAAATGCATATTGTACTTCTATAAAGGAAAAAATCTGCTTAGAGCGTGCGGCAAATTACTTCAAATTTTAATTACAAATCAGATGTCAATAAAAGAAAATTAATTTATTAGCAATTTTCAATAATTTAATAGACGGGAAATAAAAAAAACCCTATGACTCATTTCGAATCGTTGGATTGTTCTGGCTGTCGTTTTAGCAATTTTTAAATAAGGAAAATTTTAAACTTTTACTAAAACCCTGAATATCATAGATTAATCCCCGTTTCAAAATTGTCTGAAGACTTAGTTCATAGAGAAAAAATCTGAGTGGGAAATTTAACGTTGGAAAAATTGGAAATTGGGTACTTTGCAAAAATTTCTAAATTCCTTCCAAGTGAAGCGAAATTGTTAAAAGTAAAAATGCAGCAAAAAAGTTGAAAATTTTCTTCAAAAACTTGGTTGTCAGTCAGAAAACTTCATCCGCCGGCGGAGTTCATCGTCGCGGCTAAAGAGTCCAAGACGACTTTTGCGAAGGTAAATTGTCATGCTAGAATTTGCAAATTTTTCAGCCTGTGGATTTCTTACCACGATCACTCCTCTGTAGTTGTTCCATGGCCCGTTGACACTCTTCACCGCCAGCATGTGCATCCGATCGTGACAAGTCAACAGGCAAAAATTCCGCCCGATCGCGAGAAATTTGCACACAGGTCGAGTGCAAATTTATTTCAAAACACAAACTGCATGTGGTGAGACAGGTGCTGCCGCGACCAGCTGTAAATTTTGCATTCAGCCTATTGGTGGCCGGATTCGGAACTATTGCAAAAGGGGCGTGGTTATTTTAGGCTTTGTTGTCTCTTGAACTGACAAGTAGACAAGTCAGACAAGTCGTGGAAAAATTTTCTTCAGTTTCAATTTTTCCACGTCAAAATTTTTTCTGAGATTTGCGCTGGCTAAATTTTTGAAAGCCGTGATTGTTATATTTTGAAAATGTCCGATTTGGAAGATTGCTTGTTGGACAGGCTGCCAGACGAGGTGCTCGAATTCATTCTCTGCAATGTTTCGCCCTATCTGGATTTGCAAAATTGCGCTCTCGTTTGCAAAAGGTGGCGAGAACTTGTCAGAAGTACGGCTTTTATTAAATATCATCAAATAATGTAATTAAAACTTAATTAATTGATCAATTTTTAGCTGTGAGGAGAAGGATAAAGTATAATTTTCATCAGGCCATAGTCGATTTCAATATTCGCTGGACAGAGATCCCAGAGGTACACCATTACGTACTCACAATCGCCAAAAGGCACTCTCACTCGGCCTGCTGTTACGGTAAATCTTGCAATTTACATCACTGTTATAATCCTACAAATTGATTTTTGCACACAGATAACTCGATGTACATTTTCGGAGGCTGCACATCAACCTCTTCAACTTACAACGATCTCTGGAAGCTCGATCTGACCAGGCGACACTGGGTGCGACCTCTCACCATGGGAACCTACCCCACACCCAAAGCGTGTGCTTCGATGGTTTGCTATAAAGGGAAACTGATCCTCTACGGGGGTTGGAGTTTTCCTTCTCCATACCCTTTGCACCAAGAGGTGGGTTCTTGATCAAGATTTGTTCACATTTCTAGTTTCATATTTTCCAGGCGTACACTCTGTTCAACGAACTCCATGAGTACTGCATTGAGACCAACAGGTGGACTGCCATTAACACAGTCACTTCTCCGCCGTCGGTTGCAGGTCACAGTGCCACCATTCACGGCTCAAAGATGGTTGTCTTCGGAGGAATGAGAAAAAACTCTCCCTCTAATTTTGAAAGGTTTTCAAAGGTTTCTTTTTTGAAATAATTATTCTTTATATCTCAACTAGATCAAACCGAGTTTGGGTGTATGATTTTGAGGAAAATGACTGGTACCACCAACCTACCTCTGAAGTCAAGCCAAAGCCTCGTTTTGGTCACACTCAAATAAAACTGAGTGAAACCCACCTGCTCATCATTGGAGGTGGAAGGCAGTTTCCTGTGGTGTTTGACGACGTATGGCTGCTAGACATGAGCAATGAAAATCCAAAGGGAGAGTGGGTTTGGAGTCAAATCGAAGTCATTGGAAAATACCTGCCCAACAAGGCCTGGTGCAATTCTTCTGTGAAGGTTTGATATTTTAAGAAATGAGGATGCTTATATTATCTTTTGTATTTTCTTCAGGTTGGCCAGTATGTAGTCACTTTTGCTGAAAACATCCATGCAACGGCTTTGCCCATTCCAAAGAAAAATTTCAAACTTGGCTCTAGTATTTGGGTCCCTCCGCGGGAAGATGAAGTCCCTATCGAAGGGCCAGCACCAAAGAGGTAAAAATCATTGTTGAATCAAACATTCTGATATTAATTATATACAAAATATAGAAATCCTGTGGCAAGAGATAGAGATGTGAACGTCAACGGTCGAAGAGGAGTTTTTCAGAGGAGAAATGCAAGTTCAAGCAGTGAAGAGAGTGATGTTGAAAATCCAGCCCTGGGGCAACCTCGTCCCAACATTTCCAACCTGAATCCCAGACCTGGTGTGTCAGCTATAGCCCAGAATGCTGGTAGACCTGCAGCGCAGCTAAATCGTCTTAGAAACAGAGAAAGGCAACTAGAGATTCTGAGGAGACAGGAGGAAAAGTTCAAGAATAAGGGCCAGATTGCCAAGCAACCAGTGGAAACGCCAAAGTCAAGGAATACAATGGCCATGTATGTGTTGGACATTTCCGAAGTTCTCAGTCACAAGAGGGCCACGTGGTTGCCACCAAAAGTTTCTGCCGAGCCGCACCATGCTCCTGAGAGCACTGTTCTCTACTCGCTGGTGCTTGGCATGAGTGAGCTCATCATGTTTGGAGGCGTCGAGAAGGACGACCAGGAACTGAACAATTACGAAAATACAGCGTGCTCGCACTTGCGGATTATTTCAGCGCCAAAGGATATTATCTAAGAATATTATAGAAAATATTTGCAAAATAAACAGCACCCAGTCAAACTTAACTAAGGATTTTTTAAATTAATAGTTCGTCAATTAGGATCTTAAAATTTATTAAAAATTAACTAAGAAAATCAATTTTCCTCGTCTTTACGCAGACTTCCGAAAACCTTTGAGGGAATCATCTGTTTCTTGACAGGCAGAGCTGTAAAGTAAATGAGATTTTTGTGTGAAAATACTTGAATTGGAAGGATAAAATCTACCTTCTTCGAGGTCTTTCTCAGTTTCATCCTCGTCATCTTCTTCACTACTTTCATCGTCAATGTCAATCTCATCAGGATTAACAACCTTGTCTTTGGCGGCCTGGCCCTGTGTTTCTCCTCTGATGAAAGAAATGGCACCTTGAGGGGCAGGCTTCTTGGCTGTTGGCTCTGCCATTTGAGCAGCCTTGGCCTCCAACATTCGCATGCCATCCTTTGCTCCAGGAGCCAAATCGGCCACAGTTCCAGCCACCTGCCCAGAGGAAGTCAGCATCTGTGCCGACATCATGTTGACCTGAATAGAATTTAATTTCATTAGTTGCAAATTATGATTAAAAGTAATTAACTATATAATTTAATTTTTAGGAACTCAGTTATTTCAAATCTCATCTGATGACCTCAACTTAAAGCACATCTTTAATACGAAAAAACACCATGGTATTAACTTATTCTATAGTTAATATCACAGGTCACTTCCCTATTAAAGTAGTGCAAGGATATCAAACCATCGAATTCGCCTTTGACTCATCATAGTAAAATTTTTAAATTTTAACACCACAGCAGATAAAAATTTACCTGGGTATTGTATGTGGCTTGGACGCTGCGCTTGATTCTGAGCATTTCTCTCATGGTATCTTCATTTCCATGACGAATTTCAAAGTCCTTCCAAGTTTGCCAAAACTCTGCAGTTACCTAGAAAATATTAATTAAAAGTAAAAATTATTTACATATTACAGAATAAAAAAAACTTACTCTTGGATCGCACATCTGGCTGCAATGAGCATAAATTGCCCTGGCTCTGTCAATTTCACCAAGTTTGGTTTCCATATCTGAAAATCGCAGGCACATGTCTCTAGCCTTCTCCTCCGGCAAAACATCAATGGCTTTCTCGTAAATTTGCCTTGTGCGGGCAACACCATAAAGCTCAGCAGCTTTATTGATGTAAATGTTGAACATCTAAAATATATCAAATTAGCATTGAAAAGGTATATATTTTTTAATTCATTTACCTCAAATTGCTCTTCAGGCAGCACAGCTTGGGTGGCTCGTTCGTAAACAGCCATAGCATGCCTGGCAAGTCCATGTTCCTCCTCCAGCTTTGCATATAGCAAATACAGGGCTGTTCAAATTAGATTAATTTAAGTTTGATATCACATTAATAGTTCATACTTTTGGCGAATTTGTTGGGACAGTGTTCCAAACACTGTTCAAAAAGATCTCTGGCTCGCTCCAATTTGGTGCCTCCATATCTTTTCAAGAACTTGGTCAAGTATGTGTTCCAGATGTCGTAAACATTCGGCCACTTGAACAGGGCAATGCCCTTTTCATAAGCACGGAAAGCTTCTTCGTAGTACTTGTGCTCCTCAAGGAACATTCCGTAGTTGATAACAATCTGCGGGGTTGCGATTTTGAGGTCCAGGATGCGATCATACACAGATTTGCAAGCTTTGAAAGTTCCAAAGCTCTCCTCCAAATCAGCAAACATGGACCAAATTTTTAGAGACTTGTACAGCCTGTTTTGCACTGTCTCTGCATCATCGTGGTAGGCGACTTTTCTTGGCGGAGGAACTGTTGCTCGGTGCATCAGTTTCAGAGCACCATCGTAGTTGTCGTGCTGCAACTCAATTTCTGCCCAGGCACACCAAACTGAGGCCAAGTCATCTACTTTTAGATAGGCTACTTGAATGGCCTTCTCGAAGACCAAACGAGCGTCCTCCAGTTGATTGTTAGAGTCATAAAATTTGGCAAAAGCGATCCACAGAGAATGCAGTTTGCCGACAGCTTGTTTTGGATCGACTGTTTGAACTGCTTCGGTGTAGGTGTTGATGATCTGCATTCAAAGTAAAAGATCAAGTAATTATGTTTATTTAAATTTAAGAGGCTATACCTCATGTGGTTTGCCTTCCAAAAGAACCACTCTTTTGTGCCACTCATGAACATTGTGCGGATTTTGGCGAAGAAGCACCGAGTTTAGGAGCAAAAGTCTGCGGGCCATCAGATGTTCGAATCGGGCCATCCGCAAATCCAACTCGATATCATCTAGAAACAAAAAGGTACAAAAAATTAGTATCGCTTATTTTATTTTTTTAATGATCATCTAACCTTCTTCACTTGGATTCTGGTTGTCGGCAACTTCCTCCATTCTTTTGGTAAGACTCAGTTCCTCAAACTGGGCATAAGCATCAAAAACTTGAGTGAAATCTCTTACAGTGGTGACCGTTTGGATGGCCTCTTCATACACATCTCTGGCCTAAATAAATTGTAAATTATAGCAATTATAGAATATCAAAAATAATTTTTTCAAAATTTTACCCTTTCAAAGAGGCCAGATCGGATGTAATAATCAGCAAGAGACTGCCACAAACTGCCTAACTGATCAGAATATCTTCGCAAGCCCCCTCTGATAATAGCATCAACGTTCAGCGACCTTTTTTATAAGATATTTTTTTTTATAAATTGCAGAATTATTTAAATATAAATAATTACTTGACTTTTCCTGGATTTTTAGAAATAAGCTCGCACAGCTCATTCCAAAGCTGGTGGTTTGACTTCCCATGTTTGGACACAAAGTTCTCATTATTGACAATTCCTGCCAGTTTTATGGCCGCTTCGTCCAATCTTCCGATGCTTGCAAGATACTCTATGTAGTCTTCAGTGTTCTCAGGGCACAACTAAAAATTTAAAAATTCAAAGTTAAGCTAAAAATGAACAGTAACATAAAAGTCTTATGTACCTTCAAGTAACGTCTGAATACTCGAATTGCAGTTTCATGACAGTCATAAAGGCTGACAAACTTAATGTACAAAGGCCAAATCCTGTGGTGCTGAGTAATTGGCAAAGCCCTCAAAGCTCGGTCAAAGGCTTGCCTCGTCCTAGTAATTCGCTTCTGGTCTACCAGGAACGAGCAATAGTCCATCCAGATTCTGGGCATTTTGTGCATGAAAACCAAAGCTCTCTCGTGAGCATTGTTGACGTCCTCGTAGCTGGGGTCGGTGATGCATCGCCCTCGAACTTGCCTCCTCCTTAATTTTAGGTAATTGTACCAAAGCTTGTAGCTGGAATAATAATCAGTTTATGAATCAACAATAGATAATTCAATTATAAAAAAGTACCTTCCCGGAAGTTCTTTCAAGGCTCGCTCGTAAATGATGTTGATGGCGTTTTGCGGACCGGCTTTCTTGTGCTCAATGTAGCGTAGCCAGTGCTTCACGGAGTATGGATTTCTTAAGATTTCCTCTTCGTAGGGAAGATCATCGTCAGTCTGTTTATTTATTAGTATGAAAATCACGAACAAGAAAAAGTAATAAAACTTACAAAGACAAGAGAACTTGTGTCAAAGTCCGGCATCTTATTTGTCGCCTAATTCATGTAATATAACTTTTGAAGAAGTTGCTTAAACTTTAATCAATTTACGCGTAAATTGATTGGATGGTTAAAAATTTGAATTATTAGTAGATTTTGGTCAATATATTGAATTTTTCCTATTGTTTACAACAACAGCAGCAGCGCGTGTGATCGCTTTCCGACTTTTTCCGTTTTCGGTTTTTGTTAGAAATGGATTAATGGAACACGGAACGGAATACGGAATGCGAAACACGCATTAGTCACGTGATCGTGTTTATCCGTCCGCCTTATCCACTATCCAACCTCCTTGGCGGCTCATGTGCATGCGAGTGGAGGTAACTTCACTTCTGTGGTTCCGTCGTGCGCCTGCTTCGTACCGATTGGTGGATTCAGAAAAAGTGCATAAAAAATACATACGAGAGCAGGCACCAGCAGCAGCAGCAGGACGGAAAATTCCTCCGCTGGCAGCTGTTTTCTGATTTATGATTTTCCTGCTTTCCCTGGACGTTTTGGTAAGAAACAAAGAGCAGTTCATTAGCATTTGTCGGGTCAGCGATTTGTCTCTTGCGTAATTTGCTGAGTGTCTCTTTGGAACGTTTGTCTAGTGGCGATGGAATATCAAAGTTGGGCTAAAACCCTGACACAGATTTTCAGGGCTCGAAATTTCAGGGTTCTCGCGTCGTGGCGCGTTTGTATTGATTTAGGATTAGTTAAAGCGTTTTATATCATTGTGATATATGGATTAAAATTGATCTGTTTGATCTAAATTTCGAACACGGAAGTTTTTCATTTTTTTCGTACTGCTTCATTTGTTATTATTTTCTGCATCTCACTGTGATTGACTCATTAGGCTAAGTGCGCGCTTGATTATCTTCTTTATTATCACATTATTTATTTAACTTAAATTGGTTTTTTATTTTTTCTTCTTTATTATCACAGTTGATATTAACGTCTGCAATAATTTAGCAGAGACTTTCTAATAATTGTGAAGAATCTCGCGCTGAATTTATTTATTTTACCAGCGTCGATCATCATTGTGTGTATTGTTTCAGATTAAATGAGCTGTAAACATGGAAGACACCAGCAGTTCAGAGGTCAAAATGATCCCCTTCAAATATCCTGAAGTAGCAACCAAATTGTTTGAAGAAAAATATCGAAAGAATGAGCTCACGTCCCTTGAATTTAGGGTAAAAAATTTTCAATAAATCTATATTTGAATTATGAATCTAATTTGTTTTTCTCAATCAGGCATTCTGGCACGGGCATGTTCCCAAGCTATTCAAAGTTGTGACCCACCCGCAAACCAAAGTTCCCAAAATAGAAACGCAGCCAAATTATAGAGATGTCCTGATTCGTCCAATTGAAGATTTCATTTACAACGCTTGTGGAAGCAAAGAGCACACCCTTAAAGTAAACCATTTGTTTGTTTTTTATACAACATAAAAATTAATTTATGCAGGAACTGAGTAAAGTTGAGTCGACGGTTACTTCTTGTGGCCACGTTTTTCGAAATGGCGAGTCTACCTACACCTGCCGTGACTGCGCCATGGACTCGACCTGCGTCTTGTGTGTTTTGTGCTTTCAGAAGTCCACACATAAACATCACAGGTCTTACTTTTTTAAATTCATAGGACCTTAATCAAGATTTTTTTGGGCAGGTATAAAATCACCTCTTCCTCTGGTGGAGGGTGTTGTGACTGCGGGGATGTGGAGGCCTGGAAATCTGACCCTTGGTGTTCGGAGCACAAGGGAGGAGATGAGGAGACTGATGTCCAGGCGTCTCAGACTCAAGTAATTTTTGTATTGGAGATCTTTTAAAATATAAAGCTTTCCAATTTAATGAGCAGGAGAATGAGTTCAGTGCCCTGGAAGAACTGAATTTGGACCTTGCTGAGAGAATGAAGTTGATTTTTGAGTCAGTTACTAGGTTCGTACATTAAAAAATATTTTGATGTTGGCTAAAATAATTATATTGTTCCAGATATGCTTTCACTTGCCTCTCATACGTAGATCAAAATATTGAGACTCCCGTCGACAGAGTAGATCCTACTATCCTGCTCCTGCCAGGTGCAAACTCTCATTTGCAAGTCAAGGACTCCTACTGCCTTGCACTGTACAATGACGAGGTTCACACCTATGAGGCTGTTTCGACTGCCATCACAAGGGCAGTAGGTTGTACGGCAAATGTATCGATGGACCACACGCTGAAAGTTGATAACATGGGCCGAGCCATAATCAGATATGGAAATTACGAAGTATTTTTTGAAAAGGTTCTGGAATCAGAAAAATACAAATTATAATTTTCAAAGGCTTGCTCCGAGTCTAAAAAGAGAATGAGAGAACAGCTGCTGAGAAACATGAGCATCCCCCTCAAAACGGAGATTTTGCACGAGTACATAATCTGCCTTCAGTTTTTCGCACTGGAGCTTTTGCAGTGGCTGGAAAATTGGGTCAAAGAAAGCAAGGCAGTGCGCCAGGCTTTGTCTTTTGTTCTCCTAGAGGTCAGTGAACTATAAACTTTAAATCAATAATGTTATATAACTAAATGATTGTAACAGAGGACTATTGAGGACAGCTCTCCATACACAATTTTGGAGGGAGTCATCAGGCAAGACCCAAAGCTCTGGAAATCTGCCAGGTCGCAGTGGAACAAACTTCTCTTCCACAGCCTCTTGTTTGATTACAATTTAAAGAAAAGATTTTCAGAGGTGCCTTTATATTTAGTTTGCAAATGTTATTCCAAAAATCATTCTTAAACAGGTCCTCACTCGGAACTACAAGTTTATACTCTCAGAATTCATGAATGACGACCACGACCTTTCTTACAGCGTTGCATCTTTGGCGGTCCAAGTATTTACTGTGCCCTCGCTGGCAGTCTACTTAATTGAGCACCATGATGTCATCTTCAGTATACTAAATTCGTTCTACGAGCATTGCATCGCCTTGTGCGGGATCAGTAATTTACTAAAATTTTAACTTTCATGCAGATCTTGTTAAAAAAATTTCCACAGGTGGGGAGCGATTGGCATTCACTTTCACCAATAACATGGAAGTGAAGCGTTTCAAGAGGGCCATGTATGTGTTGTGGGACCTGCGTTACTTGTTGACTTTTAAGCCTAAGGCGTGGAATTCAGCCTTGAAACAGAACTTTCTGCACGGATTCAGTATTTTTCTGAAGCTTTTATATCATATGCAGGTAAAACAACCATCAAAGTTTATCTCTTGGCATCTAAGATTTTCTTGCAGGGAATGCTTTCATTCACAAGATTGGTCCATCAACATGCAGAGTACGAGCAGGAGTGGGAACTGGCGTTCCAGTTGCACTCAAAGGTCTCGTCTGTGGTTGCGTTGGCCCACGAATGGTGTGGTGAAGACAAGCTTGTGCTTATAAAAGCAGTCAGGTATTTAGTTTTAAATAATAAGCTATAAGAAAATAAAGAACTCTCTTTTTTAGGGCAACATTGAAGAAGCTGAATGAAGTGTCCGTCAAAGACAGTGTTTCAGGACCAAGAAAAGATTTGACTGTTGCTAATTGCACTGCAAAGTGCTTGGATTACGACATTTCAAAGCAAAGCGTCAGTATTCACATCCCTCTGACAAGACTTTTGGCTGCCCTTTGCTTGCATTTGCCAAAGTACAACCTCAATTTTGAATCTGACGAACTTATGTGCACCGAATTGACAATCGAACAAGTGATGGAGCCTGCTTTGAGACAGATGGCCTTGAGAGCTCAAGTAATACATGTTTTTAGGTTTATGATCACTTTTTAAATTTTATGTCAGGTCCAAGCTCGAATGTGGAGACGTAACGGGCTCAGCTTACCTCATCAGTTGATGATGTGCTCCAGCAGCAAGTGCAGGGGTGAAATGTTGGACTGCGACGTCATCATGCTCCAAACTGCTCTCACTCTTATGAAGCCAAACGAATTCTTGATCACAATGCTGTGTCGATTCAACCTGACAAATTGGGTGCAGCCTTCTTACATCCACGAGCAGAGGGTTAGTAATGTTTTCTTGATTTTAAAGTGACTTTAGTATTTCTTGATGAAAATCAGAGTCCTGAGGATGACAGCATCAGGGAAAAGAACACTCTGGTTGAGGAGCTCCTATACACCCTCCTCTGTGTTGTGGGAGAAAGATTCAAAGTTGGAGTTGGCGAGGTGACCGCTCAAGACTGCTTGTGCCATGAAGTTGTGCAGCAGCTGTGCATCAAACCCATGTCACACTCGGAACTGAATGACCAACTTCCAAGGGACGTGAATTACGAGACTCATTTGGAAAGTGTGGTCGACTTAGTGGCTGATCTCAAGGACCAAGCGCAAGGCAAAAAGGTCTATGAGCTGAAGACCGAGCGACGAGACGAGTTCAACCTTTTCTTCTACCACTTTACCAGAGAAGATCTGAGTATTGCTGAGGAATATCAAAGGACCTTGAGGAAGAAAGAGTCTGCTCAGTTCAACTGCAGTCCTCCTCCGTTGCCACCCATGTTCACAAATGCATACAGCAAAGTTTTGGATGTTCTTGAATGTGAAGTGATGTTGGCCCTCATGGAAGCAGTTCTTACTAGGTTTGAAACAGGATTGAAGTTTCCAAACTTTTTACTAATCTAAATCTTCAGGATGATGAATCTGATGACACCATGTTTTTCTGAGCTTCAGCTTCAGGAAACTCTGTTCCTTATTGGGTATGCTTTGTTGGAGGAAGAGAGACAGATGAAGATGGCACAAACAGGTGTGCCTCCTGACAGACCGATCAAATTTTCTACCAGGGCAGAAGCAAGACAGATTCTTCCTTATCATGTGGAGCAGCTGTTGAAGGGCAGGAGAAATGAGGTTGAGGAACAGTTACCCTTGGTCAACTGGGTTTTAGGTAGGCTGACTTTACACCCAAAAATATTATTTCATTTGTTGTTATAACAAAAAATTTTCTACAGCCAAGTACAAGGATGTTGTCAAGCTGAGAGATCGCAAAGTTGAGGAACCTTCGAGCAGTGCGCCAGTACCAGAGGCCCCTGCAGAAGATGAGGAAGCTGCACAGGTATTTAAAATTTTTAGGCCAAAAAATTAATTCTTGTATAATATATTATTTTCTTACTTTTAGAAAGCAAAGAAGGCGCGTGCAGAGTTAGTGGCTCAGAGACGAGCTGGTGTTTTGCAGAAAATTCAGGCACAGATGTATTCATTCATGCAGGAAAATGCTGACGAAATGGCTTCTGTTGGTTAGTTACATAACTGAATTAAATAACAACTGAAACTAAATTGAATTCAAATTGCCAGATGAAGACATGCAAGAAGAGAGTGTGATCAATCCTTCTTCTGCCTCGATGGTCGGAGACCCTGTTGCTTTTGGCCCCGATTACTGGACAGTAAAAAAAGAGAAACGAAGGTATTGAATTTAAAAAAATTGCATCTCCTGTGAACTAACAATAATTATTTTCAATAGGGTCATTTGCATCCTTTGTCAAGAGACAGAACTCATCAGTTCCTCATCCAGGGATTACAAGCCGGTTGTGATGGCTGCTCTTGTACAGCAGTCAACCGTGTTGAGCCGCCACAGATCTTCTGTGATGGACGACCCAGCAATGAATGTTGACGGCAAAATCCAAACCACTCCTTGCAAGTCAGTCGCCAACCTTTGCTTGACTAGCAATCTTGGACCTGCTCCTCACGTCAGCTCTTGCGGCCACACAATGCACAAGTCATGCTTTGATAATTTCTTTGAGTCAGTCAGGAGGAAGGAAGAGCAGCGGGCTGTTCGCAGGGACAACTCCTTCTATGACGTCAGACACAAGGAGTACCCTTGTCCATTGTGCAACAGCCTGAGTAACTGTGCCATGCCAATATTTGAGGACAACTCTGATATAGAGGACAGGTGTGCCAGACAAGAAAGCATCAACACCCACGAAAACTTGGCAGAGTGGTCGGCCATTTACGAAAATATCTACCAAGAAGCAGTGCGATGAAATCGAAACGTATCTAAAATCCAACTAACTAATTTTTTCAGGTTAAACATTGGGGCTCCTTTGCTGAAAACCCTCTAAGTCGTCTGAATATTGGAGAAGGAGACAATTTCCCACCAGACATGGGACCCTTGGAAAGGAAAGATGTAGGTTCGCAGCATTTATCTGATTGCAGTTGTTCCTAAATATTTTTCCAGTGTGAAGCTACTGTTGAAGAATCTAGTCTGAAGAAGAAGATGGCTTCTTTCATGAGCCACAACAGTGATAAGAAAAAGAGGTTCAAGCTTCCGACTCATCTGAAAGACTGCATGGATGCCTTTACGGAAGTTGTGTTTAATGTAAGTTTGATCAAATTTTCATATGATATAAAATATTTTTTTAATTTTGTAAATTGTCTTTTGGTAGGCTGCCAAAATGAAGAAAGATAGGACTGACTGGAATATTTACGCATACCGACTCGCTTACCTGTGGCAAGCCAGTGCTTACACCATCCACTCTCTTGAATGGCAACAGCGTGACCCAGAGAAGAGCCTTCTCGGAAACTTCACGGAACGACAGGAAGAAACAATACGGGCACTACTACTTACTTCTGCCATGGAACCACAAGATTTACACCCTTCGGTAGAAATTTTTTAACAAACTTGCATTTTAACTCATGAAATCCATTATTTGCAGATAATACAACCAGTGGCAGTTTCTCTTTTGCACACTTTTTACCAAGGAGATGATAAAAATCACCCTTGTATTTTAGAGGTGGACCAATTTGGTTTCTTAGTGAGTCTTATTTTCACAAACTCGTACATCTTCTCCAAGAGGAATAAAGTGAAAATCCCCACCTGCTTCGAAGAGGTAATATGATAATAAGTAAACATCTCTTATTAAATTTCTTCTCAGGATCTGGCTTTGTTGAGAATGGCGTTGTTGGCCCATGTAGTTACTCTTATGCTGGGCATGGAGTGGCAAGAGGAAGAAATGCCCATGGAGGTAGAGGAGTCTCCTGCAGACGTGGAGGAAGGCAAACTGGCCATGAAACTTCTGTACGCTGTACGGTCTATTACCAATTTGCCTCTGCCTCCAGAGTGGCTCAGCCCGGCTAGTCTGTGGCACAGAATAACAAGGGAATGGTAGGATTAAATGCTTACAAAAATCTTTTGAATCTCATGTTCTATATTATTATTATAGTACTCCTTTCTTGAGATGCTGCGCAATCTTTTTCAAGTACCTGACTGGAATTCCGGATCCACCTGCATTGACCCAAAGTGGTGGAGACACTTTCCAAGAGTTGTGCAGATTCCTAGCTTTGCCGGGGAACTGTCTTGAACTTTTAGCATCTGATTTCCATTTGAAAATGGCAACAAGGTTGGTATTTGGCATTCGTTTTTGAATTCTTGTTAATTTTTTTTCTAAAGATGGTGTCAGCACCCAAGGATAAAAGCCACCCTGGAGAGCCCTAAGTTTGTACGCGGGCCCATCAGAGTAAACCAACTGGTCCCCTTGCCTATGGATTTTACAGATCTCATTAACTCGGTTTCGTCGGTGAAGTGCAGAAGCTCTGACGAGAATGCAGCAAACCCCTCCATGTGCCTTGTTTGCGGACGATTTGTCTGCTTCCATGTGAGCTCAAATATAATTTCATGCAAACAGTTACTTAAATGTCCCGTTTGTATACATATTTAGGGCTATTGTTGTGCGGTAAAACTAGAAGATGGTCAAAACGTTGGCCCATCTATGTTTCATGCATATGAATGCGGAGCTGGAATTGGACTCTTCTTGAAAGTCCGAGAATGTGAGGCTTTTGTTCTTCGACATCACCAAAGAGGTGAGAGTGATATTTATAAATAAAAACAAATTTTTTGAATTTTGTATTAATCAAATTACTTGCCAACAGAAGCCTGAAATGTCATATTAATCAGTTTCTAATAATGTTAATTATTTGCAGGCGTTTACATCACTCCTCCTTATGTTGACAAGTACGGCGAAACTGATGAGGGCCTCAGAAGAGGCAACCCCTTGACACTTAACACAAAAAGCTACAAGGAGATGCACAAACTTTGGCTCTCGCACACGCTGTGCCAATCGACATGTAAAATTTTGGAGGATGGATTTTATCCTGTCCTGACCAATTGGCAATTGCTCTGAACTAACCATTTTTCTTCGGATTGTTACCTATAGTAACCCTCGCTCTTAATTTTATCATTTTGTGCATTAAATCAAATCGATTAGAAAAAAATTGTAATCATTTATAAACAATCGCTATCCTTTGAGACATTATTATGTCATATAACCTTTGTTTTGATTATATTTGCATATCCATTATGTAACTTTGAGCGGAATTCCCTTTTTTTCATTTTCACTTTTTGCTCTGGCTCCGTTCAAACATGCAAAATTCCATTTGAGTGAACTGATCTCATCTGAGGAAAAGGTGCAGCTCACAGTCATAGTTTTTGTCCGACGGAGCTGCAAATATTTGATCTGGAGGTGTTTCGCTTTTGAAGCTCACTCGTCCCTTTCATGGGTCACTGGGGCAAACACACTTCCTCTCCTGCGTCTTCGTATAAATATATGATCTGGATCCGCTTTCGGACTATTTTCGCAGCGAGTTTAAACGATGCCACTGCACTGGTGGCTTCTCGCGCTGGCTGCCCTTTTCAGGGCGGGCAGTGCGGTGGAAAAAACAGCATCAGGCAGTGCACGCGCCCCCAACCACAGGTACTCCAATGACAGTGTGGTGGAAATCCTTAGCCCGAGGGGCCCAGCGACTTACCTCAGCACCAAGAACGTCTCCGACGAAGTACCACTTGATGTCATCTTCATTATCAACAAAAATTCTCAAGAGGCGAACAGCACCCACGCGGTAAAATTCTACAAATTTTACATACATATTCTTTTTATAACATTTTTATTCATTTTAAATTTGAAGAAAAAAAAATATCAACAAATCTGTTGCCGCAAATGATTGATTTTTTTGCGTCTTACATTTCAAAAAATCTATTAAATTTAGGTGATAGGTGGTCATTTTGACCAAAATTTTAAGTCTTTTTTGATGCCAGAGCTTAAAAAATTCTCCCATAGCTTTTCAGGGCAAACGAAAAATAATGATTAACTTGCCATTTCCCACTAACAATTTTCAGCCCTTATAGACATTTTAAAAATTAAATTCGTCTACATAAGATTTTTTATTATTAACTTTTAATGTGTTAATCTTGACATCAAGATCGATTTTATTGAGCATGATTTTTGTGACTCTCAAATAAAGATAATAAATCATAATCATCGTCTTATTTTATTGACAGGCTATAGAGTTGAAAAAGTCGATGAACGTGACAGGCGGTGCTGCTGCTGAGCAGAGGCTTTTCTGGCACCACCAGCACCCCCCGAACAACTGTCCTAATCACCCTTTTCCGCCCAGTGGACCATGTAAGTACAGACATAGCCATCGATGCCTGTCGTTTTAATTAAGCCGCTCAGATGGGGGCGAAAAAGGTCAGAGACAAACTGCTGATTGAAAGACTACTCGCCTCTCTACAGCTGCGTTTGGTGAAAATCTATATAGATTTTGAGGCAGAGAGAGAGAGACAGACGGATCCTTGGCTCTCTCATATCTCTTTGGTGTGCACCATGTGGAAATTGCCGTTCCTTTTAATAGTTCGCCTTAATATTCGCTTGTGCCTATTTTAAGCACAGAGATACATATTATACATAAGTATCAAACAGTAGACCCGCACTTCCAATAATTGACGTGATCAAAAAGCTCATTCTAAGTGCATAAATGTAAATTGTTCTGAAACTTTTGAGGGCGGAATTTGCTTTTTGCATAAAATAAATTTATGGAAGCAAATTTCGCGCCGGTGAAAAAAAATACCGTTGTCGTCCCCGCTGACATCGAGTGTGCTTTTCAAACTTTTTTAATAAACATTCCTGATATGAACTTTTTTAATTAAGCCGATTGTGATACGCATTCATATAAAAATATGCGTACATTTAAGCAAAAGTTGAAAATCTGTCGCCAGATTTGCCTCCGCCGCTGCCCCCTGCCGTGCCTTGCGGGGGTATATTTGCGAGTCAGGTGTCGGTTTTGGTCAACCCGAACCATCCCGGGCCTTATCCAATGAATGCCAAGTGCGTCTACAAAGTAAAAACGCCGCTTCTCATTCCTACATGTCTTCGAGTGTCCGTCGCGCATCTCGCGATCAGGTGGACACCAAACTGTGTCCAAGACTGGATTCAAGTAAGTTATTTTATATAGACGAGGTTTTTTTTTACAATCTTCCTTGCTGATTTTGATTCATATTTTCCTGTTATAATTAAAGTGAAATTAAAAAAATGCTGATGCTAATTGTGAGCTGTGTTAGAAGTTTTGAATTTGTCTCACTCATTGTCAGAGCTAAAAATTCAATACACATATATCAATTCAATTCTATCTCATTTAATTTCATTTGGTTTTTTTTTTAATAATTCCAGTTAATAATTATTTGAATGTAATATAATGACAAAGGGAACCTTATATTTCCTTCAGGAATTCAGTTAATACTGTCAGTTCAATTTTTATTTATATTTATATTAAATTAGCTATTTTTTTTTAATTATGCTGATTAACTTATATCGATTTGAAAGAAAGAAAAATTAGTTAATTTACAGGTAAAATCTTTTTTTCAATAAATTAATAACCATTAAATAAATATAAAAAATTTATATATAAAAAATATTTTGAATATGAAAATTAAAACATAATAAATATATTTTAAATTATGCTAATAAAATGTTATTTTAACTGTTTTTACAGATAGGTGAAAGTCAACCCCGTCTCTGCGGCGGCCTTGTGGGAGAAAAGTACTTCCGGGTCGAGGGTGGTTTCTTCCCCGTAATCTTCCACTCGGGCCGTCTTCCCGGACCTCCAGACTCGGGATTTAAAATTGTCATCTCGCAAATTCCTTGCCAAATTCTGCAGCCACCCCGGCCGCCTCCACGGCCCCCGATCCACCACCCCCGACCTCCAGGGCCGCCGATCCCTCCCGGACACTATCCTCCTCCCCACAAACCCATCCCTTACAAGTGGCGTTGGCTGTGGCTGCTCAAGTGCGAGTGGGGCGGCATCGAGAATCTGCCTCCGGGCCACTGTCCGCCCCCGCACCCACCCCGACCGATAAATCGGCCCCCGCCAGGACCGGGTTTTCCACCCCCGAGAGACAAGACCGACCCGCCGGCTCCGCCACCCCCGCAGCAACAAGGGCCTCTGTGCAACAGGGCGACGTCTGAGCCGGAATTCGTCACCGTCAGTTCGGAGTGGTTGCCGTCGCTGAGCAACCTGGGCAAGCAGCACTGGAGCTGCAGACTGACGGTCTACAAGGCGCACCCGGTGAGTCTGCAAATAATAAATATTTGGCTTTCCGCAGCCAGCGCGCCGCACATCCTTTTCCTTTAAAACACTGCTTACTTTCTTGATGTCAAACGCGCACTGTAGACCTTTTTTTAAAACTTCCTTTTTCCTGGAACTTGGAACTTCCTGGAACGGGCTTGCTTATCTGAACAAAAGTAACATTTTAAGTTATTATTCTTATTATTAATAATGCGATCCAAACGATCAAATACAGACTAGGTTTAAAAATTACTTTCACTTGCAAGAGTTACAAACGTATGTTCAAATTAAAAATTAATGTTTATTGCACGAAAATACTACTGACAAATACAACTCACAATCAGGTGCTACAATAAAAAACTAAAAAAATAAGCATACAAAAGCAGCAATTTGTGAAATTAAAACTGAATTATTTCCCCCAAAATAAACTGAGAAAATTCAAATTAAAAAATCCCTTCTAGTTTTCAAGATGTGTTGAAAATTAAATACTTTTTAATTAAAATTATTCAGTTGGAAGATGTCCTTGTGTAATATAAAAAATAGTTTTTGAATTTATTGCTGCTCATAAATCAAACTTCTGCAAATTTTAAAGCATCTTGTTGATTTTGATGGTGCTTGGCGCTTCTTTGTCTTATGGCTCGTCTGGCGCACTTACGGAGATTGGCTTTCCAATTTACATGCACTTTATATATTCAAATCGCCCAAAATGTTGAGAGAGGGGCTTTAATTTTTGTTTGCTCTTCCGGCGGACAGCAAGTCAACAATGAAAAGCTCTATTTTCAGAGCAAATTTTACTTTTGTGTTTAACTTTGAAAGTGCGCCGACGAGATTTCCTTATTGATTCGCCCCCGCCAAAACTTTTCCATTTCCTCGACTATTTGAAGAGCACGTGCTGCGCTGTTGAATGGGAGGAAGAAAATATAAATGGAGGTGATCGTGTTTTCCAGGAAAAAAACAGCTTGCACCGTATTTTCAGTTTCGCGTATAGGGAAGACGTGTACAGAAAGAAAGAAAAGCCCCACGGGTGGGATGGTTATTTTTCTATTTTCCCGAATCGCAGCACCTCTTTTTCCCATCAATAAGAGAAAAAGATGAAACGCACCGTGCAAAATCGAATTTCATAATATCATCTTTCTAAAAACAAAAAACACATTTATCTTGTGTTTTAAAAGCATGCTTCACATGCCGGAAAATTGGAGAAATTTAATCCTATGTTGTGGTTTTGTTACAAAGAGCAAGCATAATATTCCGCTAAAGAATGAAATTTTAGAGCAAACGGGATATATGTTGCTTTTAAAGTGTTATTTTATGCATAAATTAAATTGAAGTTAAAAATGGAGGTAGGTTCATGCAAAATTGAAACCAAATTCACTTTGAAAAATGAATGAATCAAGTAAATACTCGTGATATCCCCAAAAGGTGACGTGCGGGCTCAAACAACCCTAGAATTTCTTGCGTGTATTATTGGCAAAAGAATCTTATTTATTAAAATAAATAGCTAAACAGATAAATACATCTTAAACTTATTTTCGCTAAACCTTTTTTCAATTTACCGTAGTCCGCAAGTCGTCTTTTGGTATCATGTGTTCATTTATCAAAGAGAGGTTAAACTCGGGTTCAATTTATCGTTTATTTTTCATAAAAATTAAATTATACAAGGAAGGAGTGGTTGTGAGAAGACTTAAATAAGTTAAAAAACCTAGCTTTGACCTTGCTGAGAACGTTTTTTTCGTTAATCGTCGAAACCATTTTTTAAATAAAATTTATATTAATTGAAAAGCAATTTTGAAAATCTGTTTTTCCTTGATATGTGCAAATAATATTTTGTTAACTCAAATATATAAACACTTTAAACTTACCATTCACAAAACACACTTATAATGGTGAAGTCAATGTTAAAAAATTCTTAAATTAAATTGTAGAGAGAGGTATTATATTTGTTAATTTTTTTATCCCTGTATAATTAATCACAAGAAAATTATCAAGGAAATAATTATATCTATTTATAAAAATAAGCCGTAATAAGCAAGAAACACATTTTTTTTTCAATTAATCTAATTGTAAGTGTTACATGTAAAAATAAGTTAACAACTTTAGATTTGACGTTTTTTATGAAAGAGATTTCTAGAGTCAAAAATGAAATATTATTACCCTTCGCCTTCACTTTTCTTCTATGTATCTCATTTCGGAGAGCTCTCTCGCCGGCGGCGTTCTTTGTGATCTGCTTTTACTTTATACACAATCAAGTCGCAAGATATTCGATATTCCAAACACAGGAAGAGAGAGTGAGTCTTCGCCCTCGCATAACTTTGCATTTTCATATATATAAAAAATCTTTTTTACATTCTTTTGATGTCGGCAGGACGCGTGCGAGCTGCAGCTGAACCTCGAGCGCCTCGAACTGGACTGCCGGCACGAGTGGATCGAGGTCGACGGCCAAAGAATTTGCGGAGAGCAACCCTTGAGACAGCGTGAGTAAAAGAAAAATAAAAGAGAGATGATTTCGAGTATAGAGCCTTCTTTGGCGAAACCCGAGACGTTGCCGGGAACAATGGTCGGATTAAAAAAAAACTCCGTTCCGGTCTCAGCGAAAAAAAAAAACAGCCGCTCTTTATTTATTGAATTAACGCCGTCGAAATGCGCAACAACTTTCACGAGAAAAAGAGAACGAGGCCGATATATATATTTGCAGCAAACTTTGATCCCCGGAGAACCGGCTATGCGAATTATGAAAAGCAAAACAAAACAAACTCAATTATATTTTTCGACTCTCTCACGCAGCCGGCCGGCGATTCTCTCCGCACTCTCCAACTTTTTCAACTTTCACGCGGCGCTTATTTTGCCGGAAAGAGCCTTCAATTTTTCTGCACAATTCGCATCTTTTTTGCGCTTACAACACACTCTCTCTCTCGTTTAATAAAATTTTCCGCCCGGAATAAAATTCCCAGTGTCGACGAAAAGTTTCGGCCAGGCAAATTGCGGATTTAGTGACATGAAAGCCTGACAAAGCAAATTTGTTTGTGGTGACTGACAGTGAGTTCTAGAAATGGAAAATGAGTTGCAAGTTTAGAAGGATAGGGCGAGGGTAAATTTATAATATCCTCAAAATTAAAAAGCTTTAGTTAATACACAAAATTCGCCCATTAGCTTAAATTTAAAAAAAAAATCGTCCAGATCTACCCAAAAAAATTTTTTAGTTCTTCTAGCAAGGTTGAAAAATGAGTAATTTGTCAAGAAAAAGGAATTTTAAACATAATTTTTTCAATTATTTCAACACAATATGTCATCCTATATAGCATTTTGCTCAAAAAATAAGCTTTTATTTTAATTTTGTTGAAAAAAATTACCGTTGAAGCCACTTAAGAAGAAAACTTCCAGAAAATAAAAAGTTTTTGAGAGCCTGATCCAAATTTGCAAAACGAATAAACGCTTTTAAGAAAAAAAAAATTTTAGCTCAAAATCGGAGTTGGAAGTTTCCAAATTTTCCCATGCGGCAAAAATTGCTTTTTTTTTTGGGAAGCCAGCCCCTTGCTTGAGATTCACAAAATATTTCCAGGAATAAAATTGATAATTTTTGAATTTGAGATAATTATAAAATTAGATGAAAGCAGGGTGACTCCAGCAAAGGATTTACTGTGGGAAAAATTTCTCTGTGCTCATGATTTTTATTTTCCCTCGTTTTTCTTTCCATCATTCAACATTACTGAACAAAAATGACAAAGAACTAGCTCGTTTTTTTTTCTCCTTCAAGATTTCCCAGAAGGCAATTTGATATCTGAGGAAAGTGTGTCTTTGTAGTCGGTCAAACGGCGGAGTGTGTGTGTATCAAAACTTGCCACTCATCGTAATTGCTCCGTTTTCCAAATGGCGAGGGGCTTCGTTTCTCTGGTTTGACTGTCAAGAAATCTCGGTTCTGAAGTGCAGCCGCAAAAACGGGGGCTCCACAACAGCATCTTCTTCCCCTTTGAGCTCCGCTAACTGCCGACAGTAGAGAGATTGAGTTTCAAAGAGCGGCGCAGCTTCGGCTGACGTTTCGAGTTTCGCAGTTTCGGAGCGCCGCTGGGTGATTTGTAACTATGCAACCGGAAGAGCTGCAGTCCGTTCCGGTGCAGCATCCTGCTGCAGCGATTAATTATTTCATGTGCACGAAATCGAGTGAATAGTGCAGCGCAAAACGCCGGCATTTCGCAACAAAGGGCTTTTGATGAGAAGAGTTTAAATTGCATATTTCTCTCTATTTCCATTTAAAAATATTACCATTTGTTTTTATATTTCATTCGGTGATAGGAATTGAGAAATTGATATGTAAAAATTATGTGCTTATTCAAGATTCACAAAAAATTAAAAAATTTAAATTCAACCGTTTCAAAAAAATTTTGCAATGTTATTTTTCACAATGATTTAAGGCAAAAATTAATAAATTAATTAACAGCTAAGTTTGATCTCGACAATAATTTTTGGATAAATGTAAAATAAATCCTACCTAAAGTAATTTCCAAATCATCTTGATACGGAAAGTTGGTGGAAACTACAAATTGTCTGCACTACGCCGCATGCAAATTGGCAAAATTATAAATTACACCACCCGTAAATAAATACAAATGGCCGGGTGCTTTGGTCCAAGCCTGAATTCTTTAATTGAATTCGCCGCAAATTGCACTGGTGAAAGATTCCACCCGAGTTAAATTGTAATTAGACCGGCCGAGAGAGAGAGAATCCAGCGGCCATTTCTCTTAATTTGGTGTCTGCGTATAATTCGGGGGCAGCAAAGGGCGAGAATCGAGTCAGGCCTGATTCACGAGCGCCATATTTTGCGCATAGCTAGGGTCAGTCCTAATTGGACGCGTAATCTAATTAATAATAGTCCTAATGAAGTTGCGGCAGGGCGGCAACTGGGAGCTTTTTCGCCGATTCAATTAACACAGCCTTCTGTCCCCGCCCGCAGTGAGCGTTGACTTCCGAGGGCCGGAGGCGCGGATCGACTATCGCAACATGGGCACCAAACGGCCCGGCACATTCCTGGTGCGCGGCCAGCAGAGCTTCGAGTGCAACCCTCTCAATCGTGAGTACCCTGTATTTTAGTGCCTTCTTCCTCCCTCCTTGTCGCCCCGGCGCTTAAAGGGGATATCAACAATCTTAAACTTTTCTTCACTCCGAATAATTTCTACAGTTTGGTGATGAAGACTGAAATTTTCTGACAAAAAAAACTCAAATTGGAAAACCTGAAGGGAAACCAGACTTATTAGGGGAGGGAGTTTCTTTCACATAGAAAAATGCAAGCTGACAATGAGAAATTTAGAACCTTAAAGATTTTAGCTATAGTTTGACAATATTAAGATCCTCTTGACATCGCTTTTATTACTTGCATTATTATATACGCTCTATTCGTTTTGCATTTGTATCCGAAATTTAAAATCACGGTTCTTTAATTTATTAACCTTTTTTAGAGACTTTCACTTGTGAGCACTTGTGATAAAATCAGAAAATGAAATAAAAACAATTACACCTTTCTTAGAAATTTTATTAAAATTATGCTTCTTCAAGAAATTAAAATAATATATATATTCAAACCATATACCATTCTTTTGTTTTATAAATTTTATTGCTTTTCGCATAATTTTTTTATGTTGAATCTACTTATATTATCGTTTTCAAAAATGGGTCTCACATCGAAGGAAATTTAGTGATTTCAAATGTCTGCCAGCAACATTATATTATTGATTCCCATAGAATATGCAAGCCTATTAATTAAATTAGAACGAATTTGCTCTTTTCATTCAATTAATTTTCCTTGGATTATAAATATCCACTCCTTTTTGTTTTAAGATTTTGACCGTATTTTATGAATTCAAAGATCAGCCTAGACTTTATTAAACACATTTTTTCAATGCCCTTACTTTTGCGAATGTGTCTGGAAAAAGCGTCCCATTTTCATTTGCCTCCTTGCTCGTTTTTCATTCGCATCCAGACAGAAATTATTTATTGCTTTGGCGGTGGGTCCACGAAGGCGATTAATTAGATTCATTTGCATTTGCGCTGAGAAAAAATATGTATTTCGTCTGTGACAGGCGACAACGGCCTGTGTGAAAAATGGAGCGGGAAACGTCGCGCGTTTATTTCGCAGTCGAGAGGAAAAACGCAAACAAATCAAAATCCGATTTTGTGTCTGTGAAGAGAGAGGCGACGAACGGACCGGAGAGCTCTATGGATTTTTTAATAAGTTCATTACCGTTTGATCACGTAGACCCTTTTTCCTCTAATCCCGTTCGCTCTCATTAAAGATTGAAGGGCGAAAAGAGCGTCTTTCTCTTCGTTGGAGCGGAATCGGTTAATCAATTCGTTCGTTCCTACATTCTCCAGATATGAATTTTACATGAGAGAGTAATAATTGGACATTTCTTTTTATTCGGACTTTATCATAGAAAATAATTAATTGCATGTTCGCAAAATAGACGATAACTTATTATTCCTATTTTCATCTCATTGGCTATTAAATTTGAGAAGTAATTGAGGAAAAGTTGCAAATTAATCAACCGTTATTGAAAAAACAAGCTTCAAAATATGCCTCATTGTAAATTAAAATATCTCTCTCACTATTGAAAGCTGGCAATCAATTCGTAAATTTAATTGCAATTAAGAAAAACTTTGCATTCCTTTGTTTCATTTCTTGGATCCTTACTATAATTTTTTCTTAATTTCCACCCTCAATGTCAGCAAAAATTATGAAAAGAGATATATTCTGGATTTGATTGACTTTACAAGGAAATTCATGCTTTGATAATTTTTTTTTTAATGCCAAAATTGAACTTTAAAACCTTTCAAATTCTGTATTGAGAGATAGAGAGATGAGATTCTTAATTAATGTTACAAAAATGTTAAAATTCATTCTCTTGTTTACAAAATTCCACATAGAATTTCTCCTTGAAAACTAATAAAACAAAGTGGAATAAACTATAATATTGTTGAATAAAAATCAGAGTTGATTTCTTTTTGGCATTCATGCAAGATGGCTGTGAAGGTTTTTTTTCTCAAAATAAGACACAGAAGTTCTAAACAATTGTATGAAATTAATTAATAAGATGAACAAATAAGTGCTTAAATAAAATAACGATTTTAATGTTGCGCGGGCTGCATAATTATTATAAAAAGCATTAACAATTCTCACATTTAACTTTTATTTCTCAAAAACTTTGTGCCCTTTTAATGCAAATGACATAATAAAATATACATTTTGTGAGCCGTAAAAAATTTAAAGGGGTCACTGGGCGTTTCGAGGATCAGGGGTGGGGGCTTTAAGCATATCCACGGGGTAAGACAAAGGGCCGGGCTAATGAGCAGCACCCTTAATCCCCATCCTACTCGGCTTCGCGGTGTGAATTTTGATTGTTCTCCACAGTGGGAGTGACGCCGGTGAAAAAATTAGCAGCAGCCACGCCGCCCACGCCGGGCAATTACATTTCACGGCCCATCGCACAAAATCAGCCGTGGCGGAAGAAGTGAGAGGAGAGTTTCTACAGAAAAACACCAAATTTGTGTACATTGTGATGGCAAAATATTAAATTTATTTCGTGTTTAACTTTTTCTATACAAGAATAGAGATGCGTCCTTTTTTCTGCGCTGCTGTTCCCCTAGTACCGTTGTTGTTGTTTGTGTGTCGTGCGGTTTGGCTTTTTGTCCGTGCTATATGCGGCAGCACCACACGGCGCAACGGGTGTATACACGGGTGCAAAAATTGACTTGTGGCCCACGAGGGTGTGTTTTCATCACAGCGCGACGAGCACACTGCATGACACACTCGGAAATTCAAGCCTGAATAATTTAGCTCGAATTATGGCGAGAGGTGCAGCGAGGCAACATGAACTACAATATCATCCAATGAAATGGAACACGTTTAGCCGATTTTGAAATTACTTTGCTGTTGAATTTTCAAAATATAACGCTAAATTAATTTTTTTTTATTCAAATTTATTTTCCATATTTTTCTTCAAAATTTTAGGATGATTTAAGGAAGAGTTAAAACTTAATACATTCGCTGGACAGCTGTACAAATTAAAAGTTTTAATATAAAAATAAAAATTGTTAACTATTCAGAAACAAAATAATTACAGCTAAGACTTGAAAAATAAATAAATGAAATTTTGTTCTCGACTTAACTTTTTACTACAAATTTAAAATAAAAATAGCAACTTTTTTTTAAATTTGAAAGTGTTGCTGTATCATCAGCATGCAAAAATCTTAATAAAATTTACTAATCAGTTGCCATTGGACTGGATAAATTATTAAATTTTATATTAAACCCATCTTAAATTGCAGGAGCATTAAAACCTCTAATTTTTGTAGTAAATAAAGCTCAGAAATTTAGAAGAGGATAATTTTTAATAAAGTTTTGCAATATCTTTTTAAAATTCAACAACGTTCATCAAAATTCTTTCGTTTCCATGATATGCAAATTATTTTGTGGAAAATTTGATGCAGTTTTCGTCTTGTCAGAATTTAATTATTGAACCAAAGTGATCCCATTATGTCAGTCCGGGACCAACTGAAAGTCCCTCGAGCCAAACAGAAGGGAAGCAATTATATAGACCCGAAGCGATTGAATTTGGAAAGGCTCTTCGGGGAGCAAGTCAATTTAGTCCGGTACGTACTCGTCGGTGGCCGTGCGCGCCGCCGCTTTTGATATAGGTATGTATTTTAGACACTGAAACACACACACGCGCTCATGAATTCAGCGGCCGACGAAGCGAAGGTTCGTCAGGATGTTTCTGGCCGGGCGTTTGCGGTTGCAAAAGTTCACTGTCCGGCCCGAGTTGCCGCCGCGGGCCTCGTGCAGGGCCAACAACAGGCGCACCACGTCCTCGCGGCTCGGCTTGCACTCGTACCGGTCCGCGTGTCTCTTGTGCGATCCAAGTCGTCGCCGGCCGCTCGTCGTCCCGCCCCGCTTGTCCGGAATCTCCTCCACGTACAGCAGGTCCGGCAACGCGTCCAGCAAAGGCGGCATCGACTCCAGCTGCTGCCACACGTCCACGCTCGCATCTGAAGACAGAATATTATGGCAAAAATTTATTACAACTTTTATGATAAGAAAATTTTCCATGACAAATTTTAGATAAAATTAATTATTTTAGATAGGAAATTTTGATTCTTGCAATTTTTTATTTTGCATAATCAATGCTTTATACAAAACTGTCATTTTTGCTATTCACGGTTTATTTCATTATGTTTTTTTAACTAAATAGAACAAAGTGCTTAATTTAATTAAAAATTTTTTTAATAGTCACAAAATAATTTAATATCCTGCCTTGGAAAATAAAACGAATCTTCCTTCAATTGAAAATACTACGCAAAGGTCAATAATAAAAAAATGTTGTGTAACTTTCATTATTTTATCAAGTCAAATTAATTAAAAGTTATTACAAAATTTTTAGCAAAAAGTTTTAAAAAGTATTATATTTAAAAAAAATGTAACAAGTTTACCATTTTAAAAGAATGAAATATGTTATTAAAACAATTTTATGTTTTAATAATTGTTTTATATAATTTTTTGATATATTATATTATATTATCTCAAAATAAATCAGTTTATATAAGTAGTTAAAAAATTAATTTAATAATATTTTTTATATCATTTAAATTCTGAAATTTTTAGTGAGAGTAATTTTTTTTGTCCTGAGGTTGATTATGTCCATAGTACTGATATATCATTTTTTTACTTTTAATAAATTAATAGTTAAGATAAAAAATTTGATTTCATCTAAATACAAGTTAAAACTAATTATCATAATAGTTAAGATAAAAAATTTGATTTCATCTAAATACAGCGGACTAAATAAAGCGCGAATTACTACGGGGCCAACTTTGCGAAGCGACGACAGCAATTACCCCCGTGCTCTGCAACCGGACGCGAGAACAAAATTCGGACGCGAGGCGTTTTCTTACCGCGTCGTCAAACCGTGGAATGACACGCCACCCGCCTTAAAAGACTGTACCGCGGCACAGTTTCCAGCGCTGTGCAAGGCGTATCTGTGGCTAAAACTTGATCCGTAGCCCCCCTGCCCAATGGCTCTAGCGGCCGGTGCGCTCTTCTTCGAAGGAGAGTGCGCCGTGCTTTAGCAAGTTGTTTGCTAGCGAAGAGCCATTTCTCCATTCACCCCTCTAACCAACATTCTTTACATGTATTTTCAGTGTTTTATGTTTTATATTGTGTATTGACTTGATGTAATTAAGATGTTGTGTTTTTTCTATTGTATCTGAATGGAGAATAAATAAATACATAAATAAATAAATAAATAATACTATTCTAACACTTAACACGTAACTCCACAGGGTTGTGAGAATTTAAAAAAAAATGAATGTTGAATATATTTTACTTGTTAAGACCTCCAGAAATGGATTTATTTTGCAGGCACAGAATTAAGATCTGATGCACATCCAAGTTTCTTAACAAATGCAACATCACTTTTTTTTGTGAATTGGAGCAAAACATTGTTTCAGACGGTTTCAGAGACTTTTAATTAAGGCAGAAGAGAGTGAAAATTCATCCCAATGCGATACTTTTTTTAAATTCTTAATCGTTGATTAAAAAAGAATCAATGAATAATTTTATAACGAAAATGTTTAATATATTTATATTATTTTAGAAAAGGCGTGACTTGATCGTTATTTTCACTCAGGGGAGCTTATGCAGGAGAATATGAAAAGTGTAGTTGCGAAATATAAATTCTGCCCGAGTTTGACACTTTTAAAAGACTTTTATCCGAGCTCGCTGCAAACTTTGCCAAACAAAATGCACATCTACTGCTGCGCTGTAGGAAATTTATGGAAATTTTCACATCTTATTTTTAAATTATAATTCTGCAGCATCCGTGAGAGCATCTGGACGATTTTTCCCAAAGTACATGAGGAGGAAACTTTTGCTCCGACATCAGCAGAGAGCAAGCAAAAGGGACGCTATATAAATTGTCTAGCAGAGACTAATCCCGTTTCCAGGCGTGAACTTTGGTGGGAGTTGGCAAAATAATTGTTGTTGCCGAGCCGAGCACACGCAATTCGCCACATTAGAAATGCATATAACGCGCGGTTTTAGGTTTTAGCTGAGAGGGCAATAGTTTCGAGAAGCGGAGTAAGTTTGTCGACGAGGCCGCCGCCTTCTTAATAAGCGCAATTAACCCAACTTTGCATCTCACGAAAGAAAGATCAATCGATTTTCGCTTAGCCGCGGCTAAACTTTTCCCGAGTGGATTTTTTTAAGTTTGGAAAGTTTTCAAGCTCTCTGTTGAGCACTGCACTCATGAATAATTGGCCGCTTTATTATTTGCCAGCGCGCAGCAAATTGATAAATTTTCTGCTCGACCGAGAACACGTACAGAAACAATAGAAACAAATCACCGTTCGTAAGAATAGAAGCCCGTTGTTTTTACTTGAGAGTTTATTGCCCTGCGCAAGAGATCGAACAAGTTCAACTTATAATCACACCCACGCTAGAGCCCATTGATTTGTCTTGGAGGTGCAAAATAAATAAACCAAAGAAGAAGATCCAGCAACGAAAAGTTTGTAGATTTGCCAAAGAATATTAATTTTTTTAATGTTTTATTTCAACGGAATGCACTATCAAATTAATTTGGAAAAAATGAAAAATTTTATGGAACAAACAAAATTTGTGACAAAATTGATTAAAGATTTTTTCTTCTATTTTAAGTTACTTTTCAATAAATGAGAAAAACATTGAAAATAAACTTATTCAATCTCTATTTATTAAAGGCTAAAACATTTTTAATTCATTACAATATGTGCTGAAGGGTCTAAAAGTGTACTTGGTATGAATTTTAATTTTTAACCTGCAGCTTTCAGGAAGAAAGTCAAATTTAGTCATTTTTTTTTTCAAAATATTTTACTATATGAAATAAAATTAAAACTTTGTAAAAAAAAACTGAAGGGTAAAATAATTTTTTCATTGAAATTTAATAAGTACCAGCAGTAAACGTTTTAGCTTAATTTTGGAAGGTGTTCTAAAAAAAGTAATAGACGTTAAATCTATGAATAAAAGAATAATTTAAATAGTAAATCTAGAGAAAAAAATGAAAAAGATTACCAATTTCTGTGATTTCTGCAACAAAAATCAGAATACATATTACTGAATTTTGCATTAAAATGAGATTAAATAGAATTTTTTATCCAAAGGAAGTGGGAAACAGCAAATTGATATTTATTTCCCTCCGACATTTTATAAAGCAAAAATAAATTAAAAAGAAACAATGATTGATGTTGTCAAAAAGTTACTTTCTCTACTCTTTCAATCAAAAACTTCAATTTGAAATAAATTGTGCTTTCACAGGAGCTTCTAGTTGGAGAGAAAAAGAAGATTATTGGAGCAAAGCACAATCAAAGGGATTGTTAATAAGTGGAGCAGAGAATCGCGTATCAGCGGCGACCAAAGGAAAGAATGAATGCATTTGTGTGTTTGCGAGGAGGAAACCGCTGGTGCAGCAGAAAGCAGGGGAAAAAGAGTGGGTCTAGCTAGAATTGCAGTCGAGAGTGGAGTTCCAATTATGATCGCCGTCGTCTCGCGGGTAATGGAATCCTCTCGTTCCGTATTCTATGCAGCGTGCGAGCTACGTTTGCTTTGGTAAAAAAAGAAGCGCACGAGCTGCAGGCGATTTTTTCAACTCAACTAGAGCGACAGTGTTATTTTTTTAAGTGAACCGAGCCGGCTTTTGCTTACAATTGAGCCGGAAAAGCCTCATTTTACGTCGGATTACAAAGGAGCTTCCTAGGAATCCGCAGAGATTGATTTCCATTTCTAATAATAAAACAAGGAAATGAAGGCCGGTGTTGATTATTAAGTATGGAAGGTGTTTTTTTGGAAGATCGATGTTGATTTGATTACTTTGAGGTGAAATGCCCAAGGACAGAATAATTTTGTTCCTTTTGCTTGTTTTGGAATTTTTATTTATTTTCCATTTCACTGAAAACTAAAACAGAGGACAGGACATACCCTTTGAACTTTTCCCTTTTTAAAAATCGTGCCATCAAATTTTTCCTCTGCTTGTTTTACAAATTTAATGGAGCTAAGGGTCAAACACTCCAAGGCAGAATTTGTGATCGGATCAGTGAATTGAACTAAATGTAAAAATGGCAGAAGTTTAATGTCAAAATAGACTGTTTTAGCAAAAAAATGATCCCGATTTTTTTCTACCAACATTTTTTTCTGACAAACAAGGACAAAGTTAAACAAATATAAAAAGAACAATATTTTTTTTACCATTGATCGCGTGGTTAATAGTTTTTTATTTTTGTAAATGTCTAATTAAAGTATTAATAATAATTATGATTATTAAATACATTCATAATTTACACGTGTTTTTTAACAACTTTCTTGGGCTTCGTATATTAAATTTAAATTAAAGTTTGATATGCAGTTTCCTATTGCTCTTCAAATGAACATAAAAACCATTATACATTTGCTGACATTAAACTATTTTTTTTTTGTAAAAATTAAAAATTCTAATCACATGATGTTGTAAAGTAACAGTTTTGAATAGTTTGAATATTATGTAGCAGAGAAGATAAGACCAGTGTCGTATAATAATTCTGGAATTCCTGAATCGAGGTCATCAATTGCATTGAACAACTTTAAAACAGCTCTCCACTGATATTATGTTCGATAGGCGAGAGAGCAATGTAGCTTTGTGCACTTCTTCTCGATTCGAATTTACAACTTTTGCATTTAGTTGGGAAAAACAAAAGGAGTGGAGCGCGTTTAACAATAAAAGCAAAGTGTTCACGATGCAATCCAGGCCACGTACACTCGACGCGAGGAGTGAGTAATGGAGTTTCAATTGAGCGGAAGTGCCAGCTCGTTTTTGCCGCAGAGGAGAGCGTTGGCAGAAATAAGCTCGGGCGTCCGTTCGCTGGCCCGCAGACACTTTTATTAATTTTGCATCGAGCATTTCGAGTAGGTCGGTTTTTGCTGCACCGAGACTTACGCCGAGCCAACGGCAGTCGTTTGTTGTCTGGCGAGCAAAAAGTGGCCTTTTGTGTGACAAACAAACAATTCGGCCCGGGCCGCCGCTCTGCATGTTGTTTGGTTAAACGGCTCTGGTGCGCCCGAGATATGCATGTAAGTGGTAAGAAAATACATAAACATCATTAGTGCCGCTCGAAATCGGCTGGCAACGCTCCAGTTTGCGTTTATACGATTTAACAAATATTTAAAAAAAAATTAATAATAATATTCACTCTATTTCAAGAAGACCCTTTTTTGCCTTGAGAAGATAATTTTATTTCAAGCTGTTCTGTGTAATCTGAACTTAAAAGAATTTATTTTATATTTAAAAAGAAAAATCTGCAAGCTTGAATCCTGTCTGATTCCGTATGATGGTCTAGAAAATCGTATTTATTTTAAGTATGTTTTGCCAAAATAATTGAAAATTTAGTCCTTTTAAGTCTTTAAAAGTTTTAAAGCCGAACAAGCGAAATTGCAAAAATACGGGGTTTTTAATTTAAAGTTTGAAACTTCGTTTTCTCTGAGAACAGACCCAGAATGAAAAAAAAGTTGTTTGGCTGAACTTTTCTACCTTGGGCAGAAAAAAGGGAAAGAAATCGCGAAAACATGAACAGGCGCGCCAAAGCTCTGCAAAACTTTCCACTTATACACACGCATTTTTCGTCTACTGCTTTAAAAGCAGGTGGAAAAGTAGCAGCGACCAAAATCACTACAGTTCCCAAAGAGTTATTAAATTCAGATTTCCAAACTGCGACCTCGCGAGAGAAAACGGCTCTTTTATATTACGAAAAAAAAGCTAGGCCGAGACAAATATTAAGTCGGCGCAAGTTTCGAGGTGGAAAAAACTTTGCGAAATCCCGCGGGCCGCATAAAAGCTTTTTCGCGGTGTTTATCCATTAAATTTGTGTATATCTTGAAAAAGGTGGCGCAACGGCAGCGGCGTGCAATTTAAATTTCCAGCAGGCGGTCGGGCAGATTTGATAAAAGCCGACGACGCGCGCTGTCTGTCTGACTGACTCGCGCGGAGGTAAAACTATGCATGCAGCATTTTACATTTGAGAGCTTTTGCACACACAAAACAAGAGCGGCAGAGAAAGAGGAAGACGGCGCGTGGTGAGCGTGAGTGTGGCGCGATTTCAGTCAAAACTCCCCCTCACCCACACACACGGCTCTCGCTCTTTCTTTGCAGCGCCGAAACCCTCCCTCGCACGAATTTGACTTTGTAATTTTGGTTCAATTTTATTATTTGCAAATCAACAGAGTTTTCAAATAAATATCACAAAGTATAATCAGTTTTTAATTATTTCTAAAAATAAGAGGAAAGTTTAATGAAAGGAAAATTTTAGTTTCCCTCAACGTGTCCTGTTTTGTGGCTATTCCAATATGTTTATGAAATTTTTGGAAAAAACTGATGACCATAAGTTAATGACATGTTAAAAATTTATCCTTTTTACAGCTTTAAGACGAGTTTATTCTTTAATATTTGATTGAGAAAATAATTTAATTCATAATATAATTTAAAGATAAATTATTATCTACAATACAAGCAAAACTTGATTCCAACAATAAAAATGAAATTATGCAATTTTCCCAACAGCAGTGCTTAGCACGTTGCCTACTTCCACAAACGGGCGACTCGTTTTAAGTTTTAAGAGTTGTAAACGCGATGATTGTTACAAGCTGAGGAGCATTAAAACGGGTGTGTGATGAGTCTCACCTGTGGGGTCGAACTGCTTAGTGTCGAGGAAGGGCAGGTCAGAGAGGAGGAACGGCGCCTCGTTGTTTTGCAGGTTGTTGTTCGGCGGCAGCTGTTGGCTCGAGTGAGTGGCTCCGAGGAGCACGAGCAACGCGGCGCTCAACACGTGCAACATCTGCAACCAGCACAGCGCCGCGAATTAACTCATTAATAAATTATAAAAAGAAGACGGAGGCCCGGGCTGCCAGGCACTGCGGATAAATTATAATCTGCGGCCGAAAGAGAATATAGACCTAGCTAGGAAATTTGCCAAAAAGTTTGTGATTTTTTTTTTACACAAAAGAATAAAATGTAGAAGACGGAATTGGAGGAAGGAAGAGCGACCGCTTGAGTGATTTACGAGCGATTCAAATTAAGAGTCGGCGGCTTTTTTTCTAATTAATGGTCGCGGCCGTGAATGGAATAAAAATAATGCGACGAGAAAACGAGGGCGCCGACTTTGTGGAAACAGAAAGGGAGCGAAAAGAGGCGAAAACATTCTTTCCTTCCGCCAAGAATAAGAGGAGGAGGAAGAAGAACAAGAAGAAGGGGTGATTGATTCCTTTCGGCTCAAATAAAAAAGAGAAAGAGATGAAAATCATTCGCGAATTTTCAAAATTGCGATGGAACACGCTCATGGGAGCAATAAACGTTTTTGTTCGCAGTCGATTTGCTTCCGAGAAGGACGGGAATTCCAATAAAAATTTGAAAAACTTGCCGTCTGAGCTGATAGGAGCCATAATAAAACAATTTGCCGGGAGAGACGCGCGGCCGTAAATCTGCTCGGCACGCGAGATAAAAATTCATTCCGTCGGCGGAAGAAGAAAAAGCGAAACTCACCGTTCGGACTGCTCGGACTGACTGAGAGCGATGGCTGTTTTCTTTCTTTTTCTTTCGGCGCGCTCAGGAATTTAATTTCCTTAAAAAGGAGAGGGGCTTTCGGCGTGCGTGGTTCGCATCGGAAAGAGACCGCCCTATGTACTCACCCTGCCAGGCCTAGCTAGTTTCGTCTAATTCACTTTTTTCGACGCGACTTCCGAGGGGCTGCGAGATGCGGATTCGGCCGAGCGCCGTGTCACACTGGCACCCCCAGCGCCAGCCGATCTCTTTATAAAGGGGCCTGCCTGCTGGTGTCATCGCGCGAGCGTGCTGATGCCTTCATCGCTGCCGCCGCCGCCGCAGCATCCCAGCGAGCAGGACCAAAACTATTCGCGCGCGCGCCCTCTCTTTTAATTATACTCTCCACGCTAAAAATGAACTTTTTCAAAATTTTAACGCTTATATTCAATTCTTTTAACCGATTTTTTTCCTTCATCAACATTTTTCTGAAGATAACATAAATAAATAGTAGCTTTCAAAATCTTAAACATTTATACACAATGAGCAATTTTTTTAAAAATTCAAAGAATTATGTCAGGTTTTGATAAAAAAATCTAATATGATCAAAAATAAAACAAAACGTATTTTAAAAAAAAGAATTCAAAAGTTGATTGTTATTAATTTCAATTTCCATTGATCGCACATCCTATTATGAAAATATTAAATTTATTTAAGTTTATTTTTAAAATTTGTACATCATATTGTAATGCATTTTTTGATCAGTTTGAAAACTGAAACTTCAAATATAAATTTCCAACTCATTTTTTTCCCTTCGACATTGCAAACAGAATTAAAAAATGGATGCATTTTCTCCAGTTTCTTCAATAGATTCTTATTTTATGATTAATTCTTGAAACACCTCACAGACGATTATGTTTGTGACCTTTTTTCTGCAAAACATGTGAACATGGCCAAATTGCACGTGACGCTTCAATTGTTATTATCATTATTTTGTGAACCACTTTTGTCAACGGATGATCTCGGTAGGCTGAAGATTGGAACTCGCAGTTAAAAGTAGAGCAAAATTATTCGCTATATAAAGGATGGTTCAAAACATCCTCTTCAAACGCCATGGTGATTTCCTTTTTGATTCCCAACTTTATTCGGCGGGCGGCTAACTTTGAACATAAGCCTGCTGCAGTGTGTGTACTTTTATCGTTATAGGCGGCGTGTACGTTTTACATTTTCCGCCCGCTTGTGGCTTCCGAGAGCAGCGGCCGTTGCGCTCGCCTAGCGAAAGGGTTAACTCTGGGCGTGCCTATTGGCTGCTGGATGTATTTATCCCGGCGGCCGCTGCGGCTTAAATAAATCACACACGCACGCACCTTATCATAGCGAGGTCACTCCGAGCATGTAAAGGAGCGAACCAAGTTTTTTTTTCGAGAGGCAGAAAACGCGAACGCAAACATTTTTCCGGCTATTTGTTGAGGATTCGGCCGGACAAACATATCGAAAACCGCCAAGGTAGGAATTAATAATTGAGCGATTTGCCTGGTCTATCAAGAGTATTCACGAAAACACAGAACTTTATCCAAACACAAGTTGGTCATGTTCAATAATTAAAAATGGCCACATGGAACATATAGAGGAGTTTTTGTGACTTAGTGAGGGTTGCTTCGCCAGCCGGACCATTTCCACAAGTGAGTCTGTTTGTTTACTTTGTTAGCTGTTTTTATACTTCTTGCAATATGTTCTGGAAATTTGCATTTCAATGCTAGACTTTTTACGAAGGAGGAATAAATTATTGAAGAAGTTTATTGGTTCGAGGAGGGAACGGATCAAATTTCTAACAAGCATAAAATTTTTGTATCAAAGCTATATTTAATTCAGGAGTTTTTTTTTATCAAATGACTCTGATTGAAGTTCATAAACCTGCAAAAAAGCTGTCAAAAAACTAATTTTTTAAATTTAATATTTCTCACGAAAACTTAAAATTTTCAATCTTCTGATGTTTTGAAGTTTTAGTTTAAATTTGTTACAACTTTCAATTCTTTTTTGTTATTCATATGGAAAAAATTCCTTCGACATTATAAATAAAATATAAAAATGTTGTTGTCTGAAATAAAAGTTATGAATATTTGTAAATGCTGGTCTAAGTAAGCCATTCGCATCCCCCGGCGGCGTGAGTAGGGTTCAGACGCGGCCTTGCTCATTTCATAATTAAGTAGCAATGCCGGTGAAATTGCGCAGAATGTCGGCGTGCGTTTAAAAATTCACGAGCGCCGTCAAGGCTGCAGTGGCGCCGTTTTTTCCTAAGATTTTAATGCAAGAGCGCAAAGTTTGGACGAAAAAAGGGAGTTAAGCCGACGGCTTGAGCCAGGCCCAAGGCGGCGTAAATTAAAAGCAATTTTTGTCCATAACCTCATAAAGTGGCGAGATGATGCTCCGGGCGCTTAGCCGTTGCCAGCCAGCCGTCGCGGCCGTGTTTCATTTTAATGCGCACACATTTGCATTTTTAAGTAATTTATGCCTCTCAAAAACCAATTTAGCGGACGGAGAGAAGAAAAAGACGTCTTGCTTTTTCCGCACGGCTGGCTGCTCGGAGGAAATTTGCGGGGCACAGTAAAAAAAGGAGAATTTTTTGTTAATGAATCGCGATTTTGGGCTTGACGCCCTCGATTAAAAGTGCGGTGGCTTTTGGTGCTGCGAGAGGTAATTGGTGCAGCGCAGTCCACTCATTCTCATTTGGAGGCAGCCGGCCGTGCAGGAGAGAGGAACACTCAAAGTTAGTTTCTGCAAACTTGGCTAAGCAGCTTCTGATTCGGAAATTATCCCGGTGGTGTTGTGCGCAGTTAGTTGCCGACGAAGATACTTTTTGCCCTCTCCGTGACTCGAATCGCAGCATGTGAAAACGTGCTGCAAACCTCGCCTTTTTAATCCCACCGATCCGAGCTTGTTTCGCGAGAATTTACTCCGCGCGCTCCGTGATAAGAATGCGAAAATATTGAGGAAATAAAGAAAAATGAGAAGCAGTCAATTGTGAAATTGTAAAACGATAGTGAAAGAAATTTTGAACGATACAAACAAGTTGGGTTTTTTATGTCAACTTTTTGAATGCAATAAAGTTAATTAGTTGCTGTTTAAATTTTTTTATGCGAAATCTTTAGACAAAATTTTATTATCATTGTTTCATCTTTCCAGAGGCAAAGGCTAACAAAAATAAATTGATAACAACGACGTTCAAAGAGAAGCGATTTTCTTGTAAATTGTAAATTAGAGCTCTCTCTCAAATGAAAAGTGCTTTATAAAAAGAAAGTCTTTAATTTCAACTTTCATAAGTATTTGATAAAAAAGGCAAAATAACAAAAAAATTTAATAATGTTTCTATTCTTTAAAAACTTTAAAGCAATTTACGTCCTTTTGCAGTTTCTACGTTAAATTTAAAAGTAAATTTTTTCATGTTGAAGTAGGAAAATGCACAGACACAAAATAGAGAGAAATCCGCCACGATCTCATTTCAGACACAGGCGCGAAAGAGCGATAAATTTCCGCGTGGGAGGTCATAGAGAAGATCCGACTTTTACTTTCCGTCGGCCCGACCTCTACCGAGATCGCATCATTCCGACTCGTTCCATTTCATCCAAAGACCAAGTTTCAATTCGCCGGTGTGTCAAAACAAATCTCAAAGTAGCGCCATCACATCAATAAAGTGCCGCTAAAAGCCCAAATAAATACCGCCCGTTTGGCGTTTTTACAGCCGGATTTTAAACGGTGCTTTGACCCGATATAATGCACTGCACCCGAAATAGGAGATAAATTTTTATCGGCGGCCTCTCGGCTTACGATCGACCTATCAAACCAGCGTCTCGTTCACCTTCTATATAAAACCAATATACCGAGAACTTTTTCATTTAACTTTGGTTAAAACAAAACAGCCAAGCACGGTGTCTTCTTTCTCGATTTCTCTTTGGTGTGCAGAGTCAAGTGGAGGAGAGAGAGAGGCACAGGATGACTCACTTGACTCTGGAGAGAGAAAAGGGTCACCATCACTTTTATGAAACTCTTTTGTCCCAAATATGTATCTCTCATGGGGAAAATTTTCATCTAAAACCTCGTTTTAAAATTAATTTAAAAATCTTGCTAACGTAAATATGCAAACGTGTTTTCTATTTTGTTAAGATTTCAGGCATATTTACACATCGGAACCAGAAGAAAAATTAAATTATTTTAATAGACGCTATGCCCAAATCGTTATTTCCCCTCTTTATGCAATGAAAATTTTGCATTGGTTTAACAGGACGCGTTGAGAGGCGGAAA